GCAGCCTAGAGGTTAACAAGAGCAAAAGAGAAAGGGCGAAGGCAGAGAGATAGAGCAGCAGAAGGGCTGTCAGAGAGAAAAGCAGAGGCCCTGAGAGATGAAGAGGGAGGCAGCCTGAGAAAGAGAGAGGGGGGAGGCAGGAGGGAGACAGGGGCCACCAGAGAGACACACAAGTGTGGGAAGAAAGAAGCCAGTGAGACAGAGCAAGAGCCAGGAAGCCCATGAGAGGCCGGGCAGAGACCTCGGGGAGGGAGCCTTTCCTGAAGGGCCAGCTTGTGGGGAGCAGCCTCAAGGCCCCTACAGGGAGAAGGTTACAGAAGCCTACAAGGGCTGGGGGAGCGCTGGTGCTGGAGAATCTCTCCCCCCCCCAGTCTCACACCCATGGAGAGGCCACCAGACTGCAGGAGCCACGGAGGGCGGGGAGTTAAGATGGAATTAACCTGCGGCCTCTGGTGTGTTACAAGAGGGGGCGGGTTCCTGGCACCAGGCAGACACTGGGATTTTCCACTCTGTGACAAACATCCCAAGATGCCCGGGGAAGGGCTGCCACCCTTCTGGGCTGGGAACGCTGCCTCTGCTTGCCCTGCCCTGTACAGATGAGGCTCTTTCCCTTCCAGTCTGCAGACAGGCAGGTGCCACACCCCCACCCCAGTGCACCAGCTCTGGGCCAGGGAGGTGCAGGCACAGGCCCAGAAATCCAGAAGGGGGAAGAGAGGGGACCAGTGATGAGCCACCAAGAGGACCAGGCAAAGGCCCCGGGCACCCAGTGGAGGGAGATGTCATCTCTGGTCTAGAGAAACAGACCAGAAGCATCTGGAAACCTGGTGGGACTGGGGGGTCACAAGGAGGGCAGGGACAGGTGGCCCCAAAGTGGGCAACTGCGGGAGGAGAATCTGCAAATTGCAACCTAAGTCTCATTCTATGCAAAAGGGTAGGTTGGAGTGATTGTGGAAAGCCCTAAATGCTGTGCATGCTAAGATGCTTTACTTTATTCTGTCTGAAAGGAGGGGTCATTTGTGAGTTCAACCAGAGAGGTGCAAGAATGGGGCTGTGCTCAGAATCTGAGGATTCCTAGGACTTCCCTCGTGGTACAGGGATTAAGACTCCATGATCCCAGTGCAAGGAACCCAGATTCAATCCCTGGTCCGGCAACTAGATCCCACATGCTGTAACTAAAGATTCTGCATGATGCAGCTAAGACCTGGCACAGCCAAACAAATAATCTCATCCCTTTAAAAAAGATCAATAAAGTTCTTCAGATTAAAAAAAAAAAAACAGAATCTGAGGGTTCCTCTTTTATTTAACTCACTGAGTGAACTTAAACAAGTCATCTGCCCTCTTTGCTTTCAGTTTTCTGGAAAATAGGCTTAAATCAAAACAGTATTCCAGAGCCAAATAAAAGTTTTTGTGGCATTTTTTTTCTTTCTGAGCTTACAGTTGTGGAAAACAGCTATCAAGATGGGCTTAGAGGCTCTCCAGCCCTGAAAGTCCAGGGTAGTGAAGCCACTGTGTCCTTCCCATGCCAAGGGCTCCTTCACCTGTGCCCGACCTGTGGGGCTCCTCCCTGCTCCCTCAGCCTTTGCCAACTCCCCAGGAGGCTGAGACTGATGCCCACAAGGGTGTATCCTTCCTGCCAGAGTCAGACAGCAGTAACAGACGGCAACCACCACAACAACAGCAACAAGAACCATGATACCACCACTCAACTTTGGCAGGATCACATTATATGCAACCACGAGTCACAGGACTCTAAATTCACTTAATCCTCACAGCTAACCTCTGAGGAGAGATGTTAGTATGAACTCCACCTCTTTTTTTTGGCCACTCCTCGCGGCTTGCAGGATCTTAGTTCCCTCACCAGGGATCAAAACTGGGCCCCAGCAGTGAGAGCTAACCATAAGACCACTGGGGTGTTCCCTGAATCCCACTTTAAATAATTAAAGGGGAGCTGGAAAGAATTTCTGCACACAAAGGACTCCGAAGAGGCAACTGAATGGAATTGGCTGCCTCAGGATTGACCTTGAAAAAGCATTTTCTGACTGAGTGTTCTGGTTTCACCTAGATTTTGTGTATTTAAGACGAATAAAAGTAAATAATCCTGAAAAGACAATAATTCAGACCCTGCAATAACGCTGATTTGAGGAGGTCTTGATGAGCACTGATGGAGATGAGGGCATCTACAACCCACTCCCACCCCCTCCCCCAGGAAAGCCTGCCTGGGTCAGGGGCTGGGGAGACTAGTGAGACCCTGAGGCCAGGAATGTGCTTTGAATCAAAGGCCAGAGACCCTCCGCTCTGGAGGCTGGTAAGAAAGGCAGAGAAAGCTGGAGGGCAGCTCTTTTCTTGGGATCACTTCTCACCACACAAACACCTTTTTGGCCACTCCCTGTAGGAAGGGCTCTGAAACTCACCCTGGATGTTGTAAGAGAAGGGGAGACACACTGTGGCGAGTTGGGGAGGTTTCACCCCTAAGAAAGGACTGGGCTGACCAGAGCTTCTGGTCCAGTGACTCCCAACCCAAGGGGGTCTCCTCCTGGAGCAGCCTCCCCTCTCCCCGTGGCTCTGTAAGTCAGAAAGGGGCATTGAGACCCCCAGATAAACAATTCCTTCCCCTGCTTATGTGCCCAGGTGGCCTGAGTGAAGGAGTCTTTTGGGCCTAAAAAGAGAACAACAGTCTCAAAGGCCCTTGCTGAATCATCTAACTTCGGAGAAAACTTTATAAAGTATAACTTTAGTTCCACCCTGATGCTCCAGGCTGGTTGCATCTATCTGGGACTTATCACCCCCTGTCCGGAAACCTACCACCCCCCACACCCGCCCCGAAGACTTATCACCCCCTGCCCAACTACAAATGTCACCTCAATAAAAGAATACTCAAAATATCCTGCCTGATTGGCGTTTCCCTTATCGCTTCCACAAACCTCCCTATAAATATGAAGCCTCCCTGTTCCCTCTTGCGCTCAGCCTGGTCGTTAGGCCGGCTGTCGCCCCTCCTTGCCTGAATAAAGGTAACCTACTTCTGTTGAGGTCGTCTTTCCTTTTCTGCCTCACCAGAACTATACCCTACACTGAGGATAAAGTGAATCCAGTGAGACTGGGGGACAGTCTTTGAAAAGCACAAACAGCTGTGAAAATGTGAGGTTGAAGCTGCTTTGTTCTAAGAGGTGTGAAACACTCTAAAAGCAAAGACCAAAATACCAAAGGAGGAGGTGGGGAATCCAGGTTTCTCCCCTTCTTCCTCCTTTCCCTGTTTCTAGATCAGGAAAAACTACCATGAGCAGGTAGTTTCCAGTTCCGATGGAACTGGAACTTCTAGTAAACAGCAGGGGGTTATTCCCCCCATCTGAAAGGATGAGGCTTCACTTTGGGCAGGAGGAGCCCAGGGACGGAGGGCTACAGAGTTCCAAGCTCTGAGTCCCCGCTCAGCTTGATGCCTAGCGGACCCAACCGGGGAAGGACAGAGAACAGCAGTCCACACAGAGGCTGTGTCCACACAGCCTCTGCCCTCAGGGAGCTCTGGGAGGATGGGGACACCGGACTCTGGAGACACAACAACCATAGCAGCCAGAGCAGCTCTGAGTCTCAGACTGGGAGGCAACAGAACAGAGAGAATGCTGGTGGGATGAGGTATCATCCAACAAGTCTTCCCCAAAAGGGGGATGATAAGCAAATTGGAAAGGGGAGCAAGGAGTTGGTCCACTCATTCCTTTATTCATCCATTTCTCCAATGAATATTTGTAGCACCTTCCCTGATAGCTCAGTTGGTAAAGAATCTGCCTGCAATTGCAGGAGACCCTGGTTCGATTCCTGGGTTGGGAAGATCCCCTGGAGAAGGGAAAGGCTACTCACTCCAATATTCTGGCCTGGAGAATTCCATGAACTGTATAGTTCATGGGGTCACAAAGAGCGGGACACGACTGAGTGACTTTCACTTTCACTTTTCTATATTCCAGACACTGCTGAAGAACTGAGGACACAGACATGAAGGAAAATGGACAAACTCACAACCCAGTGGAGAGAATTTCTATAAACAATCACTGACCTGAAATAAGGGCTGCATACAAATATGGACAAGGTAGTGTGTGAACAGAGAGGAGGGGTTGGGTTGTTGACCTGGGTCACGTGTGAGGCTGGGAGCTGCTGGGCAGATGGCGAGCAAGGAAAGGAACAGGCTGAGCTGACTCCATCTTGAAAAAGAAGGAAACTCCATCTCGCATTTTCAGTGAGCTTTGGACTATGTGCCTGGTAGCCATGGGGATAACATACCTATGGCCGAACTGGCCTCCTGGACTGATAAATACCAGATTCCACACCAAGATTTCCCGTCACCAAAAAGAATGTATTAATCCCCTATGTAGTCAATCACCTTTGTAATCTTTATGGCACTCATTGGTGTAGGCTACAGTGCATAACCAGCTGACCCTTCTGATTGTGAATCATGGCTGTAACCTGATTGTATCTCCCTTTAAGACTTTCCAGGCTAGGTTTAAGGAACTTGGGGTTGTGGGCTTGAGCAGTACACTTAAGGTATATAAGGTTTTCACAAAAGTCAGTCAGAGTCCTTGGCTAAGAGGAAACTCTGCCTTGGGCCCGCTGGTGTAATAAACTGCACTCCACTATCTGCACTGTCATTCTGAGTGAGTTTGTTTTCCAGAATGCATGGCTACAACAATGGCAGGGGAAGGCATACCAGGAGAGGGGTGTGTACAAAGGGACAAGAAGGCTCACCTGGGTGAGGAGGTGGGTGCTGGGGAGAGGAAGGTGAGGAGGGAAGGAGGCTGGGTGCAGACTCAGAGGGCTGGAATGCCCCACTATGGGGTTTGATCATATGGAACTGATCATACTAGTTTGGAAATGATCATACTATCCTGAAGCCGAAGAAACAGGATGGGGCTGGCAGGGAGGGGACACAGGTGTTGAGCCAGAATGGAAGGTGAAGAAGGGTAGACTCAGGAGCCAGGGTTAGGGTGGGGGTGGTATTGGAAGGAATTGGGGTTCCCTTATTGTCTGAAATGAGGCCAAGTCTTAATGATGTTGTACAAAGCCCGTCCAGGAGATAGAATGTTGGTCACATCGCTGTGCCCCACCAGCAGGTAGTTGGGGACCAGATGTCCCTTGACCACGGAACACTGGATCAGGTTCTGAGCTGCCTCCAGCGCTGCAGCATTTGGTGGTTTTTCTGCAAAACACATTTAGCCCAGCAATAACTAGGGTCTCAAGGTTACTTGCTTTGGGCAGGGACAAGCACCTAGCCCAGGCTCCCTCTGTCCCCATCACCACCATAGCCAACAAATTCCTGTAAGTTTCTTGGGAAAACAAGGTCTTTGTGCTCCCTGATTCTGCCTTCTAGAAAGTTCAAAGCCTCTCTGAAAAATAACTGCAGCTCAACACACCACTTCTCAACAGTCACCACAGGGCAGACATGGCAGCACCAGACCATTCATTGCTTGTCCATAAGAGATAGTGATGCTCCCCAGTGCGGTTGCCATGGTTACCAAGGAAGACACTACATTTGCCAACAGTGCTATGAAAACACCAAAGTTTGCAAAAGACTTTTTTCTCTCTTGCTCCATGCTTGCGTTGGGCATGGCTCTAAAGACAGATAGAACTGGGTATTGGTAAAGGTGAATTTGGAGGAAATGTTCTGCCTGGGAGGGACTCTTGGGGACCTGCCTCTTGCTTTAAGCATCCCACTGACACTGTCAAGCACCACAATGCATCTTATCCCCATTGCTTCCCATATATTTCACATAATACTTCATCATCCAGAGTCCCTCTGCCCCATGTTTACCCCTTACCTACAAAGTTGCCTATGAAGGCAATTCCTAGGCCAATATCGTTGTATCCGTATGTGTGAGAGCCTTGGGTATGCCAGCCAACTCCTTCATACACACCACCATCCTGGCCCACCAGGAAGCTAAGGTTAGGCAAAGGGAAAAGGAGAAAATTACTCTGGGTACAACTGGCTTCATTCACTCCTTGAATCATTAATTCATCCTTTCATCCACTTACTATTATTATTATTATTACCATTACTATTACTCTTACCATATGTGTTAATGTGAACAGACTCAAAAAGGCAAAAGAAAAAAAAAAAAAACCAGTCCCTGAACCTAAGAAATGAAGACAGACAGTGACAAGCAATGATGACAGCAACATTAGTCTACTGCCACATGCTGACACTAGTAATGAAAACTGATTTTTATTCTGATCCTATTGGCCACTAATTTCTTGACCTGTTCTTCTCCCTGGTTCTCCTCCCTGGGGCTCTGGTCTCACCCCTTCCCTCTTCTCACTCAATATATTCTCCCTGGACAACCATCCAGTCTTATAACTCCAATTGTTGTTTTTTAGTCACTTAAGTCATGTTCAACACTTTTGCCCGCTTTTGACTCATATCCGCCCATGGACTGTATTCCCCCAGGCTCCTCTGTCCATGGGATTTGCCAGCCAAGAATACTGGAGTAGGTTCTGTTTCCTTCTCCAGGGGATCCTCCCAACTCAGGGACTGAACCCGCATCCCTATGTCTCCTGCTTGGCTGGCAGATTCTTTACCACTGAGCCAGCTGGGAAGCCATAGCTCAATTACAAGCTCTAAAAGCCAACATGTCCAAGCAAACCCATCTTCTTCCACAATTTCCTTAGCCAGAAAATTGGGCATCAGACTGAATGCTTCACTCTGGCTCTTCCAGCCCCATCCAATCAACACTCATGGCTTGTCAACCATTTCTCCTGTTTTAAATTTTTCCACTTACCTCTATGCCGACAGTTGCTATGTTGCTCCAGGTCACCATCACCTGCTGTCTGAATTACTGTAAAAGCTGCCTGCCCAGAGTTTTACCTCCTTCCAATCCATGCTTAAAACAGCCCCCAGAGTGGTTTTGCTAAATATAGATCCCTTCATAGGGCAGGGATTTCCAGTTGCTTTCAAATAGAGTCAGCCTGTCAGGACCAATGTCCAGACCCCTGTGCTGTGGCTCCTGTCAGCCTCTTCAGCCTTCCCTCTCACCACTCCCCTCTTTGTAGTCTATTTTAGGTAGGAGTTAAGCTTCTCTGTGGGCATCCCAGGTGGTGCTAATGGTAAAGAACACTCCCGTCAATGCAAGAGATAGGAGACATGGGTTTGATCCCTGGATCAGGAAGATCCCCTGGAGGAGGCCATGGCAACCCACTCCAGGATTCTTGCCTGGAGAATCCCAGGGGACAGAGGAGCCTGGTGGGCTATAGTCCATAGAGCTGCAAAGAGTCGGACGTGACTGGAGCAACTTAGCACGCAAGCTTCTTTCATTTGTGCTCTGTCTGGACTCCAGGCCCTTGCATGTGCTGCTCCCTCTTGCCTGGAACACTCCACATCCTTCTTTGCCTGACTGACCTCCACTCCGTATCCATGTCCCAGTGTGGATGCCTCTCCCTGCTGAAGCCCTGCTGTGATACCGTGCAGTCCTCCAAAGTCTTGTTAGAGGTCCACCCTGGCACATTCTGTTACTCATCCATCCCAGTGCCAACACTCACAATCGTCATGACTGTTTACTATCCTCTCTCCTCCCCAAGGGAAGGAACTAATTCATCTTGCTGAACACCAAGCACGTAGCACGCATGCGTGCTCAGTTGCTTCCATTGTGTCTGACTCTTTGCAAACCCATGGACTGTGACCCACCAGTCTCCTGTATCCATGGTTTTTTCCAGGCAGGAATACTGGAGTGAGCTGCCATTTCCTTCTCCAGGGATTGCACCTGCATCTCCTTCATTGCAGGTGGGTTCTTTACTGCTGAGCCACCAGGGATACCCCAATAAATATTGGTGACAAAGTAAGAAATGATGAATGAGAGGGCCCTTTGTCCATTCCGAGCACAGTTGGTGACAGAGTGACAGATGCTGTATCCTGAGGCTGCAGTGGGAGTGAGCACCATAACAGGCCTCCAGAGTCAAAGGACAGAAATCAAGCCAGTCCCCAAAGAATGAATGTGAAAGGAAACTAACATTCCCTCAGGTCCTGGCATTTTCCATTTGGAATTTCCACATTTAATTCTTTATTAACTAAGCTTAATAACCATAGCAAGGCTGTGGGAAATCCTGTAAAATGCAGCCATAGTTTTCTCCTATTTACAAAGGGTGTTTTTAAAATGGCAGTTCAGAGGAGAAAGGGAGCCTGCCCAGAATGAGACATGTTCTTAGTCACTCAGTCATGTCCAACTCTTTGCGACCCCAAGGACAATAGCCTGACAGGCTCCTCTGTCCATGGGGGATTCTCAGGCAAGAATATTGGAGTGGGTTGCCATGCCCTCCTCCAGGGGATCTTCCCAACCCAGGGATCGAAGCCAGTTCAGTTCAGTTCAGTTCAGTCACTCAGTCATGTCCGATTCTTTGCGACCCCATGAACTGCAGCACACCAGGCCTCCCTGCCCATCACCAACTCCCAGAGTCCACCCAAACCCATGTCCATCGAGTCGATGATGCCATCCAGCCATCTCATCCTCTGTCATCCCCTTCTCCTCCTGCCCTCAATCTTTCCCAGCATCAGGGTCCTTTCCAACGAGTCAGCTCTTCGCATCAGGTATCCAAAGCACTGGAGCTTCAGCTTCAACATCAGCCCTTCTAATGAACACCCAGGACTGATCTCCTTTAGGATGGACTGGTTGGATCTCCTTGCAGTCCAAGGGACTTTCAAGAGTCTTCTCCAACACCACAGTTCTAAAGCATCAATTCATCAGAGCTCAGCTTTCTCCACAGTCCAACTCTCACATCCATACATGACCACTGGAAAAACCAAAGCCTTGACTAGACAGACCTTTGTTGGCAAAGTGATGTCTCTGCTTTTTAGTATGCTGTCTAGGTTGGTCATAACTTTCCTTCCAAGAAGTAAGCATCTTTTAATTTCATGACTGCAGTCACCATATGCAGTGATTTTGGAGCTCAGAAAAATAAAGTCAGCCACTGTTTCCCCACCTATCTGCCGTAAAGTGATGGGACCGGATGCCATGATCTTAGTTTTAGTCTCCTTCATTGCAGGCGGGTTCTTTACCAGCTGAGCCACCAGGACATATACAAAAGAAAAGCCACCTGAGACTTCAAACAATTGTTGTGATTGAGTCACAGCTTCCCTGCAGTTCAGTGGTAAAGAATCCACCTGCCAATGCAGGAGACACAGGTTTGACCCTGATTCAGAAAGATCTCACACGCTGTGGAGCAAATAAGCCCATGAGCCATAACCATGAGCTTGTGCTCTAGAGCCCGTGCTCCGCAACAGGCGAAGCCACCACAGAGAGAAGCCTGCATCGCAACTAGAGAATAGGCACCCCCTGCTCCCCACAACTAGAGAAAACCTGCACAGCAATGAAGACCCAGACCAGCCAGGAAATAAATAAATAAATACTTTTTAAATTTATTCTTTTATAGGTTGTCACTGAATCACTTTGCTGTATACCTGAAGCTAACACAACATTGTAAATCAACTAGATGCCAATAAAATTAAAATTAGTACTAATAATTAAAAGTTATCCTACTCTAACCCTAAATTTCTTCTATGAAAATTCCAAGGGAATGCCTAAGAAGCTTCCCACTGTTCTAGTTCACTTGGTATTATCAATTAGATAAGGTATTGTTCCCCTACTGCAGAGAGGAGGCAAAAGAAGTCCAGAGAAGTTCAAGTTTCCTGTGTCTATAAACGGAGTAAGCAATAGCAGAGGTAGTGCAGGATTCTAACATCAGAGAGAGCAAGTTTGGGGTTGGGCCTAAGGGCAGCAGGGGGTGAGCAGGGTCTGGGTTGCTGGCTGGTTGGAAGGGATCACATTTAAAAGGCATGGTCCGTTGACAGCCTCCCATAAGGGTCTCACACTCTTGGTTTATCACTATTGTTTTAACATCTTCCTTTCAGAGTCTTCCCAACCACTCATGGAGAACATGCCCAGGGGAGATAACTAAACCTTAGCTAGGCTCTGAAGAATGCTCAGTCCAGAATCCTGCACAAATAAAAAGATGATGTCTTATGTAAAGCACCTGGCACAAAGGAAGAGCTTGGCAAACACTGGCTCCCTCCCCGAGCCTTCCTTCTTATAGCCCTGAAGAAAAGGAGCACCAAGTTTGCACCAGTCCCACTTACTGATATCCGATGTCACAGAAGTTCCGTGTGTCCATGTGATAAGATTGTATATCTCGGACACGGATCCGGCAGTCCATGGATATGCTGCAGGTTGCCCCAGCAGTGTGGATGATGACAACATATTTGGCTGGGAGACTCATTGCAGGGCAGTGTGTCTGTCTGGCTTCCCAAGCTGACCTTGTGATGATGTTGGGGCAAGCTGTGGAGGGGGAAAAAAACAATGCGATGCGAAATCGCATGTGCCCACATGTGGACAATCTCACAACTGCAGGCTGATTACTCCTCAGACTCCCCAGCCCCTGGTAACCACTAACACATCCTAATGTGTGGGATTCTGTGGGATTCTGGGAAAGTCTAGATAAGGATTGTCTCGGTCAGGCAGCTGGAGCCAAGGGGCAGAGGCAAAAGTCAAGTTCTGATAACAACTATGGAAATCAGTATGTGAGGAGAAGGGAAAAGACTACTGCATTGCAAATAAAAGCAGATGTGTGTACTTACATAATAAGACCAATGAGCAGAAATCAGCTGACTTTCTGAACTGAGCACATGCATATGGTAATTTGAAATCTCTAAAGAATTCTACACACGTAAAAGTGTTATTAATGGAGACAACACCAGTCTGAAAGCGAGATACATTTTAAAGATTTGCAACTTAAAAAGCTTAATAAGAAAACATTCTTGAGTCCCAGGCAAGATCCACTGTAGCAGAGAGTGTTAAACTATTGAAAGCGCTTATAATCGTACTGGTTTTAGGTTGTTGCTTGTCTTTCCAAAATAGTGCATGATTTTTATTATCCAACTTCTTGGACTGTTCAAACTCATGTCAGTGTAATCTGTGAACCCAAGTTTTTCTCAGTGTGCTGTGGTCATGTTGAAGGTTGGCTTGTTTTGCTTTTAGAAGGAGGTGTGTGTGAGAGAGAGAGAGAGTATGAGACAGAGATTGTGTGTGTATGTGTATTCATGTAATATACACAAATATATATATATGTTTTTTTACCCCACCCCATTTCCATGCTTTATTCTTCTCCATAACCCTGATGTCATCTAACATCATATACATTTTACTTATTGATTCATTTTCTATCTTCCTCTACTTAAATGTGCAGTTTTATCTGTTTTGTTCACAGCTGCACCCTCAGTACCTAGAAGAATTCAGTAAATATTCGCTGAGTGAAGACGTGTACATATATATTTATGTCAAGAATGGTTCCATGGCTATATGGTTCCAGTGGAAAGGAGAGGCCAGGAAGTTGCCCTCTTAGAATTTTCCAGATCTCAGCAAGAGATGTTCTTGGTCTGAGAAACCAATGAATACCAATAAGAAAAAGCATTCCCTACTGTTCCTGGGTAGTAACTGGGAGGAGGATGAGGCAGGACAGAGAGGCTTTACCTTTCCTGGGCATCAGTGGCTGATGAGGGACCAGGCAGCTCTCTGCTTTCAAGAGAAGTGGCTGAATATACCTGGGTGATAGGTGACCCTTCTTTATGGCATAGAAGATCAGGTCCTCTGCGGCTGATAAGGCAGTGGGACTTGGACTGCTGCCTGAGAGAGGATGACATGGAGCACAGAACTGTTAGCAAAAAGTTCCAACCTGGTCTAGATGTAGAGGGAGGATAAGTTGACCCCTTGAGCCTAAATAACTGATGGATGAGAAGAGGAAAAACTGGCCCAGCAGCCAGGACAGAGAGGCTAAGAGACAAAGAAGTACTTACACACAGCTCTTAGAAACCAAGTTGGTGACTTCTTCCAAGTGCTTTATTTATCCACTCCATCACTATGTGGAGTCACTCGGAGACAGTGAAAGCTACCTGTAGGAGCTGACCAAGTCAGGAATGCCCTAGTTTGGCAGAAAAGATGACTGTATTTATTTAATAGCTTCCACAATCAGACAGGATGCCAAGTGCTCTTCACATCCATTAACTCACGTAATCCTCACAGAAAACCTCTGAGATAAATGCTATTACTAGCACCACTTGGAAGATGAGGATCCAGGCAGGTGCCAGTTATTTGTTGTTGGCTTGTTTTTTTAATTTATTAGTTTTAATTGAAGGCTAATTACTTTACAATATTGTAGTGATTTTTACCATACATTGACATGAGTCAGCCATGGCCTACTCTGTGCTCTCCGGTGCTTTGCCGAGGACTAGAAACCTGCAGACTACAGTTCCCAGACTTCCTTGCTTGCTGGCCACTGGTTGGGCTCTACCAATGGGAGACACTGGAGGAAGAGAGAAGCCATGTTTTTCTGCATCTGCCAGTTCCTAATTATCAACTTCAGAGCTTCCCTGATAGCTCAGTTGGTAAAGAATCTGCCTGCAATGCAGGAGACCCTGGCTCAATTCCTGGGTCAGGAAGATCCCCTGGAGAAAGGAGAGACTACCCACTCCAGTATTCTGGCCTGGAGACAGAGTCGGACACGACTGAGCAACTTTCGCTTTTTTCAGACTCTCAAAGTGATGGCAATAACTGTGAACTCAAGCAGTATCAGTGTTCTCTTCGGCGGTCTCACAGGAGTACAGACCAGAGAGGAAAAAGAGAACTCCAAAAATGCCCCATCGTAGAATCCAAGGGAGAAAAGAACTTCAAGAGAGACGCCATCATCAGAAAGAACAACATGATGTAGGCTGAAAAGACAAGAGTGAATGACGGAAGACAGGGTAGACAACTCCTTGGTAGAGGGTCAGAGGGGTGACCATTACCTAGATTATTCCCAAAGAATGCGAGGCCCAGGGAGATGTTGTTATAGCCCTGGGTGTGCATGCCTTGGATGTTCCAGCCAACACCTTCATACACCCTGCCATCATTCCCAACCAGGAAGCTGCCAGGCAAGGAAACATGATTAAATGCAAATTTCTGTAACAGAAAACTTCTCACCCATCCTCAGAATGCAAAAAGTTCTAGAGGCTCATATGTTACAATGACATAACAGTGAAAGGGAGTGGGATAATGCATTTTAGACTTCCAAGAGATACAGGAATATGTCTTTAATTCTCTTGTGACTTAGTTTACCTGTGTTTCCCAGAATCTCAATTTAAAAATACTCATTTGGTTCAAAGTAGAATTCCAATGTGTGACTCTCAAGAACCTGAGAACTTTAGTTCAAGGGCATGAGAATCCATTGGTCATGTTTTTAAATTATAGGACCAAGCACTTGTATGTTGAAAACAGTTGATCAGAATTTAGGGATTCCTTTAAGTTAATATTTTCTTCAGTTTCTCCTTAGGAATCCCTAAGCTCTTTTTTATCACAGAAATTTGGTTAGTATGTTCCTTTTCCCAGTTTAGTTTTTGAAGCCAAAGCATTTTTTTTTCCCTTCTACCTCCTCTTCTCTTTATAACTTTCTCATCTTCCACATTCCAGTTACAGTCTTAAAAACTTTACTTTCACAACTCTTACACATTCAGCTTTTAACAGGTCATGAATTTCCACAGCAAACTGAGCACAGAAAGAACATTTCCCCAAAGTCGCCAAAGACCCGGAATGAAGGGGAACAGAACTCCTACCCTGCAGTAACATCGGCCTGAGGACCAGGTGGCGGCCTCATGTGTCCACCGTGTCCCTGGCTTTGCCACAGTACTTTCAGGTACTGAGGTACTCTGTCCCTGCTGCCTTTGGTCAGTCCAAAGTGAATAGTCCCTGTGGCTATAGCAACTGCATCGTACAAACTAGAGACTGTTACCCTGTCACCCCAGAAACCTGACTGCAAGATACCGTGGCTGAAGCAGGCAACCCAGCAGTGACAATGGCAGGGTGATGGGGCACTCATGGTAGGCTCAGCGGCCAAGCTGTAGGGAACGTGGCCCCCACAGAGGGCAGACAGGAAGACCCCCAACCCTAGCCCTCTGGGGCTCTGGTGACTCCAGTGGGGGCTTCCAGCTGCCCTTACTTATTTGCAATCTCAATAAATCAAGCATAAGCTGTGGGTTGCCCTTCGCAAAGTGGATAATTCAGAAAGCATTTATACTTGTCCTTAGAATTCAGGCAGGAGAGCACCATTCCCTCTCTCTCTTCTTCTATAAAGAAAAGGGGGGAAAGAGGAGGCTGTGGGCATCCACTCCACTGCTAATCCTCAGAGAGCGAACTCAGTGCGCAACACGAGCCTCTCCTTGCCTCACACATTCACAGGTCCTCCTCCCTCATCCCCAGTGGTACGTCTCCTATGGGGTCCCAGTCTCACTGTGAGGTGGCCCTTCAAGGTACCTGGTGGAGAAAGCCCTGTCTGTGAGCAGAAGTGGAGCAAGGCAGGACTAGTAGGCAGCCTGGGAAGAGTTCTGAGTTCACACTCCTTCTCTGAGTGACTTTCAGCAAATTCCCTAACTTCTCCAGACCACAGCATCCTCACCTGTGACACAGGGGTGGTAATATTTCTCCTGCCCATTCCTCAGGGTGGCAGGGAGAGCCTACTTGAGTAATAATTGTAAAGACCTTCGTAAATTGAAATGTTCTTCGAGCTTCAAGGGGGAGACTACTTATCACATAACCTCCCTTGCTTCTTTCCTGGAACCCCTAGCGGCCAAGACCACATATGAACATGTGGCTCACGGTGGTCCTCCTCATGACCCCTTTGGATTCTGTTTATATTAGCATTTTTTATTCATTAGAAAAGCAACATGAATGGAAGATTAAGAAACGCAGAGAAGGGGGAACAGGAGACCCCCTCAAAAGGAGAACTCAAACATGGGCTCCAGGACCCCACCAGCCTCTTACTTGTAGGCCACATCACACCAGCCTTTGGTGTAGACGGAACGGGACTGCAGGCCCCTCAGCTTTTGACTGCACGCTTTCTGCTCCTCGCATTCCATCCCCGTGATCTGGTCCGTGATGACATAGGCCACAGGCCGGGTCAGCTGGGCCCTGCAGGTTAGGGATCTCGCTCCCCACTCCTTGCGGGAGACAATGGTGGGCACACCTATGGGGAGGGGAGAGAGGAAATACGCTGGTATGCTGAAGCCCTGCCAGCCCTCCATAGGCTGGCCAGGCCATCCTGAATCCTCTGTGATAGGAGAGGCCCCAGAAGGAGGCCGGCACCACCACAGCCTCCCCTTCCCTTCTCCATCTCTTGTTTGAAAGTGAAAGTAAAAGTGTTAGTTACTCAGTCCTGTCCAACTCTTTGCGACCCCATGGACTGTAGACCACCAGGCTCCTCAGGAAAGTTCTGTCACTCTCCTGAAACCAGCAGCTCCCCAGCCAGAGCCCACAGGAAGCCCCATGAACACTGGGGTGGGGGATTCCCTCTTTCAGATGAACATGCACTGTGGGCAAGGCTGTGAGAGCCCCACCCAGGACCCCAGGACCCCCGAGGGCTCCCTCATTATCCTTACTTGGGAGCTCCCGGGAACTGCCTGAGTGAAGTGGTATCTCTACCCTGAGAGCTAGAGACTGGGATCCTTGTCTTTTTTCCCTGGGTTTCCTCTCCCTTCTGGAATTCACCTTTGCCTAAGGACTCAGGACAATCCATGGGAGGAGTTGTGGTTCTACCCTACCCCCTCCACCCCGCCCAGCCATAGTGGTGTTCTAAGAAACACTTCTGTCTCCCTAAAAAGCCCCAGGCAGCACCCCCACTAAATGCCTCACCATTGCGACCTGTGTGAATGAGCTGTGAGATGCCAACAAACAGGTCCAGAAGTTCCTGTAACAGCCCCCTGGCTTGGGTCTCATTCCAGGATAACTCCAGGGAATCCCCTGCAAAGGAACACTGCACCTGCTGCTGGTCCTTGGAAAACTACCTGGACCAGCTGAGAGGCACAGGTTCCATGTTCCTCCTGTGACCCCACAGCCCCAGCCTCTGGGTCTCCCCAGATAACTTCCCACATGACCCACCTGACTTCCTCTAGGAAACAAGAAAGAGGAAAACCACAGATGCACCTGGCCTCACCCTGCCTCTGCCTCTCACATCTGCCGCAGTGAGGCCTTTGCCCCTCCCACCCTCCCCAGCCTCCCCAAGCCTCCCTTCATTTCAGGTTCGATGCAGTCTCTCTTGTCTCCTCAGCTGGGCAGCTCATTCCCAGTTCACCTGTATATGTATTAATAGATCAAAGGGTCACATACCAAGATGGTCATCATGTTAACATGTATTCATACGTTAAGCACCTAGTGATCCAGGCAAGGTTCTTGAAATACAGAAATTTACAGATCGTTGTGACTGCCCTACCAACTTGATTTTTTTTTTAAAGATAGGATTAATGGAGAATTAATCACCACAAATGGGCTTCCCAGATGGCTCAGTGAGTAAAGAATTCTCCTGCAATGCAAGAGCCTCAGGTTCGATCCCTGGGTCTGGAAGATCCCTGGAGCAGGGCATGACAACCCCCTCCAGTATTCTTGCCTGGAGAATCCCATGGACAGAGGATCCTGGCAGGCTACAGTCCATGGAGCAGCAAAGAGTCAGAGCACAACTGATGCGACTGAGCACACAGACACAAAATCATCACAAATATGCCTCATTCCCCTCTATCTGTTCAGTACCAGAGGTCATGGGGGCAATGTCACTGGAACAACAATGTCACCCACAGACCAGCTCTGTAGTTAACAAAGCATTTTCAAGGGCACTATCACATTTGTGGCTTAAAACAACTTTGTGAAATAAACAAAGCAAATTAACTACTCCCTCTATACAAATGAGAAACTGAGGTTCGGAGAGGTTATTTGTCTAAAATGATATGGGTTTTAAGCTGTGGACTTGGATTCCAAGCCAGGCTGTCTGACCTCAGCCCCATGTTCATAACCACTAGACTCTGCATCCGCCCCCAAATTGTCAGAGGACCTAGAGCAAGTCACTGCCACAATGGGGCCTGTTTCTCTGTCTACAAGACTGAGTTGTTAAGGGTCTCCATCATGGTTCTGAGGTTCTGTCCTTCTGTGAAGTCATCAGGAGCAAATGCCTGACCACAACATTGACACCAAACTGTACGGGGCAGGCTGGAGAGGCTGCTGAGGACTGGAGCCCGTCTCAGCTGGGGACGGGGCACCTGAGCTGGACTCCGCCGATAGGGAACATAGCTGATGGGGAGGGATGAGGATCCCAGAAAGGATAATTTACAAACAAAACCAGGCTGGGGCTGATGCCAAAAGCACTTGTGATCTAGTAAAAGAAAACTCACCCCAGGCCGCGAGATCCAAAGCAGACAAGACAAGAAACCATAGCAGCATCCTCATGTGGTCTTAGGTCACCAACAGGGAGAGTATGGATCACAGCCCTGGGGGAGACACCGATAGTTAGACCAATCATCCTCACCCTTCAAACAGAGCACCTACCAATTGCATGGCCCCTGTCTGCCTCCTTGCCAAACTGCGAACCTCCTGAGGGCCAGCACCCGGTGAGGCTTCGCAAGGTCCTCAAGACAAGGTTGACCCTTAGCAGATGCTCAATAAAGGTGAGCTAACACCTCTGTCTAGCCACCAGCCTACTATGACCCTGAGAGTTCATGGTTCCTCCTAGGAGCCTGGTGCCTCATCTACAGATTTCCAGCACAGATAATTTCTAAAACTCTTGAGTAACTATTTGAATAAACTCTGTGTGGATCGTTTTTACATCTTAGTGGTGCTATTTTGTATTTAATTCTTATAAAATCCCCATAAGATATTCGTAATCCTATTTTTTTATTTTTATTTTTTTAATTATGAAAGTATGATAACAGATTTACAGGAGGCTTGGAAAATACAGAACAAGGTTACATATAATTTCACTATAGATAAAATTATTTTTTGAAATTATTTTTTAAGTAAATAAATTAAGAATTTTAGTTGGAGTTTCAATATCAAACTCTCAAAAATTAACAGAATGAATATACAGAGACATAGAAGGCTACAGTAGACCTGAAAAGCACTGTGAATCAATTGAACATAATTGAAATTTATACAATTTTCACACAACAGTAGGACACAAATTATATTCAAGTTCTCTTAGGGGTGGGCGTCATTCGCAAAGATTCCTGACAGATGCTCACCTAACTTCTTCTCAAGTGAGAATGGTACTAATAGCATTATTTACCAATTACTGATCACATCCTATATTGCAAGTATTTGCTGAGGTAGTGGTGGTAGTTTAATCACTAATTCATGTCCATCTCATGACCCCATGGACTGTACAGCCTACCAGGCTCCTCTGTCCATGGGATTTTCCAGGCAGGAATATGGAGTGGGTTTCTGTTTCCTTCTCCAGGAGGACTTCACAGTTATTAATTAAGTATCTTTACGATGACCTATGAGACCTGTACTTATCATCAGGAAACTGGACTTCAGAGAGGTTAAGTCACTAACCCAAAGTTATCCAGTTAGAAAGGGCAGATCTGTCTGACTTGAAAGCCTCTGCCTGGAACTTCTCCACAATCTACTTGAGTTTCTGATGATGGAGATTCACAACAAGGGTCCAAGAGGTTAACCTCCAGGATTATTATGTCCTTTCCATTGCATAAATATTTTCTGCTGTGTCAGGCAGAAATGAACTGCTTACTTCAACTCAATCCAAATGAAATATCGACTCCCTGAGATGTCAACCAAAACATCAACTGTTCTCCCAATTATCCTACTAAGAAACTGTAGAGGGAGGTTTGAGATCAAATGGGGTAGATGACTGCCCTCAAGAGATTTTATGTTATCATCAGTAGTTCTCAGATGGAAAATGTTTAGAACCCCAGTTTAAAATGAGCATACAAGAGCTTCCTGGATCAGTACAAGCAACCTCTCGGCCATTAACACCCAGGAATCCATTGATTCAAGAAAACTGTGTCCTGATGACAAATGAGTCCTCCACAAAGGAAGGGAGTCACCTAATGTGGAAAAGTGTTGAGCTTCCCTCTTTGGTCAAACAAGAGGCAAGGATTCACTTGCCCAAAATGGAAGCCCCGTAGGCTGGTCTCCCAAAAAAGAAGCTGGCGTCTTGCAAAACTACCTAGAAACCAGCAATCAGTTCTGGTCAACAAAAGGTCTAAACTCTGGTCACTTGATCATGGTGCTTCCACAACCATGAATGATAAAGTAGCAAATGCTGTCCTGAGCTTGTCACATTACACAGCCGAAGTAGAAAAGCTTGAGCCCAACCCCTGATCATGTCAAGGCAGGAATTTCTGATGTCTCCCACCCCTACCTCTAACTGCAAACACTTAGCCAGCAGGACAGGCTGCAGCCACAATTCGCCCACCATGGCTCATATTGCTATGTATTCTCTGTACTTAAAACGAAGATGAAATATTAGAACAGGAGACAAGTGAGATATAATAGACAAAGATACCAGGCTAGTCAGAAAGGAAAGAAACTGGGTAGAGATGATCCCAGGACCCACAGCCTTGGCAAGAAAGTTCCAGGCATGGTGGAACCAAACCCACTTAGAACAATTTAAGTAGAGAGTTTTCTTATTTGGAGGAAGAATTCAAGAGTGGAGATCAGGGGAACTTTCTCCACCATGTTAACTGTGTAACCTGATAGAGTCCAATCCTTCCAATAATAGAGGGGGTTCTCAAGAAGACACACGTGCACACACACACTTAGAAATACCTGTGGGTCCCTTGCTCTCCCAGCTCCACAGGTCAAGCTGCAGCCGGCTCACCCCTCATTGGCTGGCAGGGCCTCCTTTCAGACTTGGCCTCTGGCCCTGCCCTCCTCCTCAGCCTTCACCCTCCCAGGCACTAGAGGGCACTCTCTCCCCAGGAATGGAGAATGGGCCCTAGCTCTCCAGAGAGAAGAGAAAGGCCAGGAGCCCTAACAAAAGGAAGAGAGGGGGAGGAAGAGGAGGGCCAGGCTCTGCTCAGTCCACAGTAAACAGCACCAAGAGGGAATCAGTGAGACCAGACAGGTGCTGGCAGCAGGGACCCGCCCTGTGAATAATCCCAGGTGCCTCCTCCCTGGGAAAGGGTGCGGCTGCCCAAGGCTCCCCAGCTGCTTTCTCAGCCCCAGCCGCCAGGAAGCCCTGCCAATTGGCTATGCCTCACACTGGCTAGAGGTGTGGAATCCAGAGAGGAAGAAGACAGGGTTCCCACCCTCAAGGAGCTCAAAGTCAGAAGGGGGAGGCTAGGCCAGCACACCAACAACCACCCTACAAAGCAGAAGCTGCACCTGACTGCTTGGAGACACGCTTTATTGGGCTTGCATATTATGTTTAGTTTTGCATTTCAATTAAGATAGACACTATTACTTTAAAACCTAGAGATTTAAAATAAAACATTGAGGTATATAGGAGTCTTAATTCGGGGTGCCATAAAATAACCTAGACTGAATGACTTAGACAGAAATTTATTTTCTCACAATTCTGGAGGCTAGAGTCCACAATCAAGGCCCCAGCGTGGTCAGTTTTGGGTAAGGACTGTCTTCCTGGCTTGGAGCTGTTAGGGGAAAAACTGGTTGAAACCACCCACCCTAGCCAGGCATCATAGGAACCCATTTGCATGAGTTATTTTATAACAGGAGGTCCTGGTAAGAAACACAGAGCTAACAAGTCCTCACCAACCAGAAGAATTTGGGAAAGGTCAAAAGGAGACACCACATGTCCTACCAACCTCCCAGAATCCTACTTGCTAGAATCCATCTTGGCTGAGCAATGTGTGAGCCCCAGGAAAGACCCTGAGTCAGAATAATTGGCCAGAGACAACCTGGAAACTAATCCCATCATCATAAAACCCGAGACTGTGAGCCACATGGCAGAGGGTCCTCCTGGCTTCCCTTACCCTCCCACTCTCTGCCCAGGCGCCCCTTCCCAATAGAGTCTTTTGCTTTGTCAGTGCATGTGTCTCTTCGGACAGTTCATTTCCAACTGTTAGACAAGAGAACCCTCTCAGGCCCTGGGGTCTTCTCACTGTGTCCTGACCTAGTGAGGGGAAAGAGAGAGAGAGAGAGAAAGCTCTCTGATATCTTTTCTTATAAGGGCCCTAATCTCTTCATGAGGGCCCCACCCCCATGATCTCATCTAGCTCTGATTACCTTCCAAAGGTCCAATCTCCAAATACCATCACCTTGGAGGTTAAAGCTTCAACACATGAATTTTCAGGGAGACGCAATTCAATCTATTTTGTTGTTCAATTGCTCAGTCATATCTGACTCCTTGTGACCCCGTGGACTGCAGCACTCCAGGCTTCCCTGACCTTCACCGTCTCCTGGAGCTTGCTCAAACTCACATCCATTGAGTCAGTGATGCCATACAACCATCTTATCCTCTGTCATCCCCTTCTCTTCCCGCCTTCAATCTTTCCCAGCATCAGGGTCTTTTTCAATGAGTCAGTTCTTCACATCAGGTGGCCAAAGTATTGGAGCTTCAGCTTCAGCATCAGTCCTTCCAATGAATATTCAGGACTGATTTCCTTTAGGATTGACTGGTTGGATCTCCTTGCCGTCCAAGAGACTCTCAAGAGTCTTCTCCAACATCACAGTTCAAAAGCGCCAATTCTTTGGCTTTCAGCCTTCCTTAGAGTCCAGCTCTCATATCCATACAGACTACTAGAAAAGCCAATCTATAGCAAAATTCAATCTGTAGTAACTGGAATATGAGATCCTTCTCACAATCCAGAAATCAAGAACATTTATACATTGATTTGTGAAACAAATATTGAGCTACCAGAGTGACCCAGTGCTCCTGACACCATATTAGGACCTGGGGATATTCCAGGGAGAAAAACACACCATGTCTGCCCCATGAGGTCTGCATCCTAGTGGGAAAGAGAGGCGCAAAGCAATCAAATGAACACAACATCTCTAATGATGATGGTGCTGTGTGGAAAAGAGCAGGGCATTGAACACATTTGTGAGAAAGTGATGCTGGAATTGGGACATAAAAGATGAACAGATGTTTCCCAAGAAGTAGAGGGGAAGAGTGAATGCATATGAGAGGACCCTGAGGTTCACAGCTCCATGACTCTTAGAGCACAAACCACCTCCCTCCAGCCCTCTTCTTTTCTCAAGGAAGGATCTCTCCTGCCTGGATCTCTCCTCTTGAGAAAGGGAGGAACTTGGTGAATCCGTATGTCAATTCCCTGGCAAGTTCTCCTCACTCCAGAGCACCTACAGATGAAACAACCATGTACTATATGAAAACAAGAGGTTCACCTTTACTCTAAACACCCTAAGGATATTTGGACATTTGATTCTTTATCTTATTATATCCACAGTGTTCTAACTTCTTACTTGCAATGTAAGTTCCCATCCCTTCTCAACTAGCCTAGGCCAAGGTATTTCAGTATCATCATTATTTGATATGAAAGTAAAAAGAGAACATATAAATTTGGCCTCACAGTAACTAAGATCTAAGCCGAGCTTCCCCAGCATTTCTGTGGGGATAGGCATACTCTGAACTGTCCATAGATCACATATATATCTTGTATATTTCCTATCCCAGACTTGGAATCAATTATTTCTCCAAGAACCTCTGTCCTCCCATCGCAAGTAACAATCACCCAACAGTATCCTTTACAAACATCATGTTATAAGGGTAATACTAAATGAAACGCACGTGGCTCAGTAACTGGTTAGTGTCTGACATGACTTTAAGGGCCTTTTCACCAACCACCAGGAAATTTACACTTGACGTGTGAACATTTGGTGAAGTTTGGTGAAGTTTCTCTACCATTTGGTTATTCACTTATGCTCTTTGTATAGGAAGAGCAGAATAGGTGCTTTTTTCTTTCCCCTTTTTACAGGTTTTCAAATAAATAAGTGGATTCAAGTTTTCCAAAGGTGATCAGTTAGGCATTTTGTATCATTATGAACTTATGAATTTAAATTTAATGAGCTCAAACCATAGAAATGACTGTTGCTCTCGATGCTCAGCTTGTCCCATAGGGTAGATAGTAGACATTGGAATTCTCCCACTGGGCAGCAGTCTCCCAAGACCTTTTGACCCAAACTAAGAAAATGTTTTTTGGCTTCATTGTTATCTGATATGAGAAAATGTTTCACATTTATCTTGCACATTTTCTATACCCAGACACAAAATCAGTTTTTTCTCCAAGAACTTCTGATTTCTTTTATTGGGATATTGAAATTTCAGCTCACAATCTTATGCTAACTTACTGCTACTGGATTGATCAGAGTTTCCAGACCTCTTCACCAGACAGTGGTTAAAAATGTTAAGATGAAACACTTCATGAGTTCATAAGTACCTCGTGAGTTTATCCTTATATTTTCAATTCAAATCCAAGGCTCTGGTATATTACTTAACCTCTTCTAGGTTAGTCTGCATCTCCTTTTTCCACCCTGAGAATCTTACTTTCAAAAACACTGGGGATGATGGAATTAGAATATCACATATTAGCTCATTTGTTTGATCCCACATCTAACAGTAAACTTTCATATAAAAATAACACAAAGATTAGCACCAACAATATAATTATTAAATAGATTAAAAGTTAATTTGCAGACACTCTTCTCATTCCCTCCACATTTTTTTCAGTTCTGTAATCTGCTACATTGTTAGCACTTACAATCATTACATACTATACTCTCACTTTGATAATCCTCATCTAGTCTTAATTTACAAATACACATACATTAATATTCATCTCTGGTCATTATGTTAACGTCTTATTCTGGTTGTTTGAGGTCATTATCTTTTAGACTCCTAAGGAAGGGTTCATGAGACCATATTCCCAGAGTTTTTACATGTTGATGAGAGCTTATTTGTAACCTTTGTATTTGAAACTCAATTTTATTGAATATAAAACCCTTGGATCACATTATCACATTTTTTCCTTACATTTTAAATATATTCTTCCATTTTTTCCTAGCTGAAAATGTTGTCAAAAAGTCTGATGACATTTTTCTCTCTCATTTGTCACATTTTCGGTTTTTATCCTGAATGCCCAAAGGAAATGTTTTCTTGAAAACCCATTAGCTTAATATACCCTGTAATTCATCATTGTGAGTCATTTTTTTTAAATACAAAGTAAAAGCAAATTTTCAAAACTTTCTTTTCAGGAAGGTTTTCTAGAATTACAGGTTTTAGTATTTGTCCTATTTCCTTATTTTAGTTTTCTTGTTTAGGGACTTCAGTTATACATACCTTGTAACTCCTTTGCTTATCAACTATATTGGTTACTTTCCCTCTAGTTGTTTTACTCTTGTTTTTTATTTCTTTTGGATTTTTAATTTTTTCTTTCATTTGATCTTCGTTTTCTTCTAAGGCATTATATGTTATGTACATTCACTTTTTATCTTCCTCCTTTTACCTGGTCATTTCTGAAATGGTTACTATATTTCTTACTCTCTCATGAGTTCTATTACCCGATTTCTCCTATTTTACACTTCTAGTTAATTTTTCTTTCCTATCTTATATGATTTTCTTGATACTTTTAGCTGGATCTGAGGTGCTAGTTTATAAATTTTTTTTATCTATGAGCATCTCCTATGTGGGGAGGTGCTGGATGGCCTGTGTGGAGACAGCCTGGGCCTGGAGTAGTACACAGTCCTGTCCTCACAGGGGTGTGGGAGGATGGGGACATGGGACCCTAGAGACACAGCAGCCATTAGAAACAAGCAACCAGAGCCAGTTCTGAGCCTCGGATTGGAAAAGAATGGAACAGAGAGAATGCTGGCAGGATGGGGGACTGTCCAAGATCCAGCAAATCTTGCCCAAAGAGGGTATGTCCAGCAAACTGGAAAGGGGAGCAGGGACTTGGCCCACCCCCCTTTATTCATCCATTTCTCCAATAAATATCTGTCTCATCTTCTGAATTCTAGACACTGCTGAAGAACTGAAGTCACAGACATGAATTAAACTGGGCAACCTCACAACCCAGTGGAGAGAATGTCTGTAAACAATCACTGCCCTGAAATAAGGGCTGCATCCAAATCAGGGAAAGGCAGTGTGTGAACAGAGAGGAGGGGCTGGGACATTGACCTGGGTCACGTGTGAGGCTGGGGCTGCCAGGCAGACGGCAGGAGAAGGCACACCAGGAGAGGGGTGTGTACTGGGGACAAGAAAGCTCACCTGGCTGAAGACATGGGTGGCAGGAGAGGAAGGTGAGGAAAGAGGAAGACTGGGCCCAGACTCAGAGGGCTGGGAGCATCCAACTACAGGGTTTAAGGGACTCTGGGAGATGCTGGCAGCAAATGACCATACTAACCTGAGACAGGAGGGACAGGATGGGGCTGGCAAGGAGAGGATACAGGTGTTGAATCAGAATGGAGAGGAAGAGGCGGACCAGCAGGTGGGGTTGGGGAAGGGGACGGTCTTGGGAGAAAAAGGGGCTCGCTAGTGTCTGAAATGAGGCCAAGTCTTAATGATGTTGTACAAAGCCCGCCCAGGAGACTGAACGTTGGTCACATCACTCTGCCCCAGCAGCAGGTAGTTGGGGACCAGGTGCCCCTTGACCACAGAACACTGGATCAGGTTCTGGGCTGCCTCCAGTGCTGCAGCATTGGGCGGGGAACCTGCAAAACACAGCAGACTCATCAGTTATAGGATTGCTGAGCTTGTTCCAGGGCAGGACACACTCCTAGATCCCCCTAACCCACCTTTACCACCAAACTGGTATATTCCACTTTACAGACAGAAAACCAAGTCAAGACTTTAGATTCCTCAGCACCAATGAATTATCTGACCTGAAATGTTGATAATGCTGTGGTTGAGCAACCCTGCATTAGCCATGTAGTGTTTTCTTCACCTTCACATGCCCAGCAACATCTCCAGGCATATTCCTGGCTCACACCTTCCCCTATCCAAGGCCCAATTTAGTATTAGCCCCCAGTGACATAGCCTTCTCCTCCCAGAGATTCCATAAAAGGCCCCTGAGCTTAAACAAACTCTGATCAAATCTCTGAGCAATGGCAATTCTCAGCGTGCACTCTGGATGCAGAGACAGGGCTCATCTGTGTGTTTGGCAAATAAGGCAAGTGTCCACACATGGATGTCATGGTAAAACTTATCAGAAGCATACACAAAGATCTTCTTTCCTTGTTTAATGTGTCTTGGATATCAGAAGAAAGAGGCATTTGTTTGGGTGTGAAAGATGTAAATTTAGGGTGGAATTCTGTCTCAGAGGCCACCTGTCACACTGAACTTAGTTCAACATTAAATCTGAAGCTGGGTAAATCTAACACTTTTGCTGCTGCTGCTGCTAAGTCGCTTCAGTCGTGTCCGACTCTGTGCGACCCCATAGATGGCAGCCCACCAGGCTCCTCCATCCCTGGGATTCTCCAGGCAAGAACACTGGAGTGGGTTGCCATTTAAATCCAGCACACGCAGCCACTAAGATGATACCTGTGTCTGACACCACTGTCTTTCACGTCAGACGCTTTCCCTCAAATACCACACAATGACCATTACTGCCCGAAGCATCCACTTACCAGAGAAGGTGCCCATAAAGGCGAGGCCCAGGGCAATGTCATTGTAGCCAGGGGTGTGGGAGCCTTGGACACTCCAGCCTACTCCTTCATAGATGATGCCATCCTGGCCCACAAGGAAGCTAGAGGACAGCCAGGGGAGATGAAGAAGGGCATGAAAGAGAGGCACTCTGAGACTGTCCCATTCATTCATTCATTCTTGTCTACTCATCAGACACTGATTAGCTTATCAAGTTCTAAACACTGTGTAACAAAGAAAGCATCCTTGCCGGTGTCATGCTGGTCAGCCAGCTCGCATGGGCAGGGGACATGGACCGCAGCCCTGATCTATAGCTTTTATTGATATCCAACCATGGTTGATCTCAGCCTACCAATGATTTGACAAAATTCTTGACAACAGTCCTCTCTCATGAGCCCGTGGGCCTCAGCACAGCACCACTGCCGCAGGTAGCTCACAGACTAGGAAGAGCGACAGCTTTCAATCCCTGCAGCCCTACCTCACCAGTGAAACTGTTGCCCAGAGATGACCTACTCCTCCCCACGGCTAAGGACAAACAAAGAGCACTTCCCCAACCTTGCCTTCCCTGGCCTCTCGGTTCGGAAGGCCCTGCCAATCCCTGCCTTCAAACATTCTTCAAACATTCTTAGTTTCCCTCGCACCGCACTCTCCCAGTCGCTTCTTCTCTGGCTGCTCCTCATCACCTCATTGTCCTATGTCCTTCCCTGCATGTGGGGGTTTCCTCAGGATGCGACCCTAACTCCCCTCTTCTCACTTGACACATTGTCCCAGGACTAACCCATCTACTTCCTTGGTTCAGCTGCCATCCAGAAAGACCATGAACCCACTCCTGGACCCACCTATTCCCCTTGCTGGGCTCCTGATCTTGGTAAAAAATCCCACCATTCCCTCCTCCTACTGGGAATAATTCTGCATAGCAGGGCCCAGCAAAACACATCCTGATAGGTAATAGATGTTGGAGGAAAAGTTTCCTCCTACCTTGAAAACGATGTTACTACCAGGGATTGGAGAGAGGAGAGGCAGTCAGCCCAGGAGTATATATCAAGCAGTGGTAAATCCATCTAAGGCAGAGTCCCTGCACATAGCTGTCCTGGGCTTGGGGACAAGTAGCGACTAAAATCTAGCTCCATTAGGGCTCCTTTGATTCATGTGCACAAATATGCCATCTGGGTTAGTAGAAACCCACCCTAAGATTTAAAATTCTGTGCAATTGTTTCTGATAGGACGTTGTTGTGGTGGTGGTGGTGGTTGTGGTTGTTTTTGTTGTTCAGATGCTAAGTCCAAGATATGAGATAGTATCTAACCCCAAACATCTTATCTTCAGTCTCTGAAAGCATCCTTCAAGAAGTCTCCACTCTTCTGTTAGGTCCGTGTGTTCTTTATAAAAGGATTACAGACTCTGCCACTAGAGAAATCCAAAGGTACTATCCGGACAGGAGAACACTTCCCTGACCTTGCCTTCCCTGACCTCTCTGTTCCAGAGGCCCTGCCAATTCCCACCTCTTCAAACATTCTTAGCTTCTGTCGCACTGCACTCTCCCAGTTGCTTCTTCTCTGGCTGCTCCCCGTCACCTCATCTTCCTGTGTAAGGAAAGATGTCCTCCCCAAGGAGAATGATACTTTCCAGATGCAAAGAAGAATCTAATATGAGGGAGACAAACTTCAGGTTGGGGCTGAACTGAGAGACAGAGCCTAAGCTGAGGAGTGGGAGGTGATGATGTGAAAAATGCATAATCTTTAGATGCTCCTTTCTACAGGTTTTACAATCTTCCCTGCATTTGATGTCCTATAGCACCTTTTCAGCAGAGCCTTGGTCTCCATCATGTCAATATCTGACCTTTCAAAAGGACACACATTCACACTACTGTCCATAAAGGACATAACCAACAAAGACCTACCGTATAGCACAGAGAACTATACTTAATATTGTGTGGTCATAACAAACACCCTCTTCCAACACACAAGAGATGACTCTACATATGGACATCACCAGATAGTCAATACCAAAATCAGATTGATTATATTCTTTGTAGCCGAAGATGGAAAAGCTCTATACAGTCAGCAAAAACAAGACCAGGAGATGACTGTGGCTCAGACTATGAATTTTTATTGCCAAATTCAGACTTAAATTGAAGAAAGTAGGGAAAACCACTAGACCATTCGGGTATGACCTAAATCAAATCCCTAAGGATTATACAGTGGAAGTGACAAATAGATTCAAGGGATTAGATTTGATAGAGTGCCTGAAGAACTATGGACAGAAGTTCGTGACACTGTACAGGAGGTGGTGATCAAGACCATCCCCAAGAAAAAGAAATACAAAAAAGGCAAAATGGTTATCCGAGAAGGCCTTACAAATAGCTGAAAGAAGAGAAGCTAAAGGCAAAGGAGAAAAGGAAAAATATACTCATCCAAATGCAGAGATCCAAAGAATAGCAAGGAGAGATAAGAAAGCCTTCCTCAGTGATCAGTGCAGAGAAGTAGAGGAAAACAATAGAATGTGAAAGACTAGAAATCTCTTCAAGAAAATTAGAGATACCAAGAGAACATTTCGTGCAAAGATGGGCATAATAAAGGACAGAAATCACATGGACCTAACATATAGCAGAAGCAGAAGATATTAAAAGAGGTGGCAAGAATACACAGAAGAACTATATTAAAGATCTTCATGACCCAAACAACCACAGTGGTGTGATCATTCACATAGAGCCAGACATCCTGGAGTCCGAAGTCAAGTGGGTGTTAGGAAGCATCAATACAAACAAAGCTAGTGGAGGTGATAGAATTCCAGTTGAGGTATTTAAATCTTGATTATGCTGTTAAAGTGTTGCAGTAAATATGTCAGCAAATTTGAAAAACTCAGCAGTGGCCACAGGACTGGAAAAGGTCAGTTTTCATCCCAATCCCAAAGAAAGGCAATGCCAAAGAATGTTCAAACTACTGTACAATTGTACACATCTCATACATTAGCAAAGTAATGCTCAAAATTCTCCAAACGAGGCTCCAACAGTATGCGAACTGATAACTTCCAGATGTTCAAGCTGGATTTAGAAAAATCAGAGGAACCAGAAATCAAATTGCCAACATCCATTGAATCATAGAAAAAGCAAGAGAGTTTCAGAAAAATATCTACTTCTGCTTCATTGACTATGCTAAAGCTTTTGACTGTGTGGATCACAACAAACTGTGGAAAAATCTCAAAGAGATGGGAATACCAGACCACTTTGCCTGCCTCCTGAGAAATCTGTATGCAGATCAAGAAGCAAGAGTAAGAACTGGACATGAAACAACTGACTGGTTCCAAATTGGGAAAGGAGTATATCAAGGCTACATATTGTCACCCTGCTTATTTAACTTAAATGCAGAGTACATCATGCAAAATGCCAGGCTAGATGAAGCACAAACTGGAATCAAGATTACTGGGAGAAATACCAATAACCTCAGATATGCAGATGACACTACCATTTTGGCAGAAAGCAAAGAGGAACTAAAGAGCCTCTTGATGAAAGTGAAAGAGGAGAGTGGAAAAGTTGGCTTAAAACTCAGCTTTAACAAAACTAAAATCATGGCATCCAGTCCCATCACTTCGTGGCAAATAGATGGAGAAACAATGCAAACTGTGACAGACTTCACTTTCTTGGGCTCCAAAATCACTGCAGATGGTGACTGCAACCATGAAATTAAAAGACACCTTGCTCCTTAAAAGAAAAGTTATGACCAATTTAGATAGCATATTAAAAAGCAGAGACATTACTTTGCCAACAAAGGTCCATATCGTCAAAGCTATGGTTTTTCCAGTAGTCACGTATATTTGGGTTGGACCATAAAGAAAGCTGAGCACTGAAGAACTGATGCTTTTGAACTGTGGTGTTGGAGAAGACCCTTGAGAGTCCCTTGCACAGCAAGGAGATCAAACCAGTCAATCCTAAAGGAGATCAGTCCTGAATATTCATTGGAAGGACTGATGCTAAAGCTGAAGCTCCAATCTTTTGGCCACCCAATGTGAAGAACCAACTCGTTTGAAAAGACCCTGAAGTTGGAAAAGATTGAAGACAAGAGAAGGGGACGACAGAGGATGAGATGGTTGGATGACATCCTAGACTCGATGGACAGGAGTTTGAGCAAGCTCTGGGAGTTGGTGATGGACAGGGAAGCCTGGCATGCTGCAGTCCATGGGGTCTCAAAGTGTCAGACACAACTGAGTGACTGAACTGAACTGAACTGAACTAAATAACCTATAAGGGAAAAGAATCTGAAAAAGAATATATATGTATGTATAAAACTGAACCACTTTGCTGAACACCTGAAACTTACAAAACATTATAAACAGCTATACTTCAGTTAAAATAATAAAGACACACATTTTGAGAACGGGCTCAAATAAGGCCTAAATAAGGCCCACCCAGGGCTTGGTGAGGAATCTGTGAATGAGAAGGACCACGTCTCCTATGCTGGGCTCTCAGTAAATATTAGCTCCTCTTCCCACTCCTTTCACAGGCTCAGTATACACCCCCATGGGACGAGAAGCCTTCACAGCCTCAGGCACACTTACTTGTACCCGATATCACATGAGTCTGATCTATCCATGAAGAAGGACTGGATATCTTGGACCAGCACGCGGCATTCATCAGACTTGTTGCAGGTTCTCCCCGTGGTGTGGATGATGATGACATACTGAGCCGGCTGGTTCATCCTGGGGCAGTGGGTCTCCCTGGCATCCCAAGCAGACCGCTGGACAATAAGTGGGCAAGCTGCAGTGAGGCAAAAACATGTATGTGCCCGCTCAGGTCACCCACCTTACTACTGAACATCCCGCCCGCCCTCTCAGCATCCTGCCCTGACCGTGACTACGGACCTGGAGAGCCCAGTAGCTCCCAGTGGCCCATCTGGGAATAGGAATTGCCTTCCAAGATGCAGGAGCCAAGAATCACCAGTTACAACCCCAAAAATCAGAACCCAAAGGAGAATGGGAATGTTGATCTTGAGGGGACATGGATGCTTTATCCCTACTGCAAAGTGTACTTATTTATCTGAACAACTGTCATGTGTGTGTGTGTGTGTGTGTGTGTGTGTGTGTGTGTAACAGGGTCTTTTTGGAGAAATCAATTGAATTTTCATCTAAAAACATGTCTTTAAGAATCACTTGTAGTCCACAAAACTGTCAGTGTAAGCAATTATTACTACTGGCAGATGACACCATCCAAAGGCAGAGATCAAATTCACTCCAAGGTCTAACACAAAATTCCAATTTTCTTTAAAATTCTATTAAGTCCAAGAAAAGGTTAATAGTGCCTATTAACTATACTGTTTGTTTAGGCCACACCATATGGCTTGTGGGATCTAAGTTCCCTAACGGGGGATCAAACCGGGGCCCCCAGCAATGAAAGCACAGAGTCCTAACCACTGGACCGCCAGGAAACTCCCTTCTAACTGTACTGGTTTTGATGTCGCTGCTTGTTAAACTCCAAATCTGCTTTTAATCTTTCTTGAATTGTGTTAAATTCTTCCTTTAAGTCAATAAAAGTAATACCTTAAGCTCTTTGGTCTATTAATGCGGTTCTATTGATAATTTTTGTATTCAGAAAGAGGTGCATTTGCGCTTTGTGTAGGTATATCCTATCCCTCACCAGGCTTTTTTCCCTTCATAGCACTTGTCACCATTTCACCATGTAACATGCCAACTATTTTAAGTGTTTGTGTTCTTATTGTGCTTCTCTGCCATCTTGATTGAAATTTCATGAGGGCACTGCTGTTGTGTGTTTGCTTTCTTGATACATCCTCAGTGACGAGCAGGTGCTCAGTAAATAACCGATGTAGAAATGAGTGAACACACGGTAGACTATGCAGAGTACCATGCCTCTATCATTCTAGGAATCCGAGGGACAAGTAGGTGACCTGGAGGGGCCCTCGCAAGGTTTGCCAGCCCTAAGGTTTCAGAGAGTTGGGTGACCAGTTGCCTCCAGTGAAAAAGACAGCCCCTTCAATAAGTGGTGCTGGGAAAACTGAACAGCTACGTGTAAAAGAATGAAATTAGAACACTTCCTAACACCATACACAAAAATAAACTCAAAATGGATTAAAGGCTTAAATGTAAGGCCAGAAACTATAAAGATCTTAGAGGAAAACATAGACAGTACACTCTTTGACATCAATTGCAGCAAGATTCTCTCTGACCCACCTCCTAAATTAATGGAAATAAAAACAAAAATAAACAAGTGGAAACTAATAAAACTTAAAAGCTTTTGCACAACAAAGGAAACTACAGACAACATGAAAAGATAAACCACAGAATGGGAGAAAATAATTGCAAACGAAGCAACTGACAAAGGGTTCAGTTCAATTCAGTTGCTCAGTCGTATCCGACTTTTTGTGACCCCATGGACTTCAGCACAGGCCTCCCTGTCCATCACCAACTCCCAGAGTTTACTCAAACTCATGTCCATTGAGTCAGTGATGCCATCCAACCATCTCATCCTCTGTGTCCTCTTCTCCTTCTGCCTTCAACCTTTCCCAGCATCAGGGTCTTTTCATATGAGTCAACTCTTCGCATCCGGTGGCCAAGGTATTGGAGTTTAACTTCAACATCAGTCCTTCCAATGAATATTCAGGACCGATTTCCTTTAGGATGGACTGGTTGGATCTCCTTGCAGTCCAAGGGACTCTCAAGAGTCTTCTCCAACATCAGTTCTTCAGGGCTCAGCTTTCTTTATAATCCAACTCTCACAGCCATACATGACTGCTGGAAAAACCATAGCCTTAACTAGATGGACCTTTGTTGCAAAGTAATGTCTTTGCTTTTTAATATGCTGTCTAAGTTGGTCATAAATTTCCTTCCAAGGAGTAAGTTTCTTTTAATTTCATGGCTGCAGTCACCATCTACAGTGATTTTGGAGTCAAAAAAAAATAAAGTCTGCCACTGTTTCCACTGTTTCCCATACAAAGGATTAACCTCCAAAATACACGAGCAGCTCATAACAGCTCAATATCAAAAAAACAAGCAACGCAATTAAAAAAAAAATGGCAGACATTTCTCCAAAGAAGACATGCAGATGGCGAATAAACACATGAAAAGATGCTCAACATCACTCATTATGAGAAAAACACAAATCGAAACTACTGTGATATATCATTCATACCAGTCAGAATAGCCATCATCAAAAAATCTACACACAGTAAATGCTGGAGAAGGTATGGAGAAGAGGGAACCTTCCTGCACTGTTGGTGGGAATATAAATAGATACAGCCATTACAGAAAACAAATGGAATAGTATGGAGATTCCTTAAGTATCTAGGAATAAATCTACCATATGGCCCAGAAACTCCACTACTGGGCATATACCCCAAGAAAACCACAATTATAAAAAAGACAAGTACCCCAATGTTCACTGAAGCAATATTTACAATAGCCAAGACATGGAAGCAACCTAGATGTCCATCAACAGATGAATTTGTATTTTTAAAAAAAAGTTGTGGTACATTTATACAATGGAATATTATTCAGCCATAACAAGTAATGAATCTGAATCAGTAGTAGTGAGATGGATAAACCTAGAGCTTCTTATACAGAGTGAAGTAAGTCAGAAAGAGAAAAATAGGTATCATATAGTAACATATATATATGGAATCTAGAAGAATGGTACTGATGAACGTAGTAGAGAACAGACTTGTACATACAGCAGGGGAAGATGAGGGTGGGACAAATTGAGAAACCAGCATTGACATATATTTACTATCATCGGTAAAATAAACAGCAGGAAGTTGCTAAATAACTCAGAAAGCCCAGCCTGGCACATTGTGATGTCCTAGAGGGGTGGGAGGGGGGAAGGGATATATATAACTATGACTGATTCACATTATTTTATGGCAGAAACCAACACAAAATTGCAATTTTCCACCAATTAAAAAATAATTTAAAAAAAAAGAACAACTCCAGTGAGTGCCTGACTGAAAAAGTCACATCCAATGGCATTTGAAAGTGAGTGGGAGTGAATCTGGAGGGAGGTCCAGTAAGACTCAAGGGCTTAGGGACGTCCCTGGTGATTCAGGGATTAACACTCCATACTTCCAAAACAGGCAACATGAGTTTGATCCCTGGTCAGGGAACTAAGATCTCACATATCATGCAGCACTGCCAAAAAAAAAAAAAAAATTTTTTTTTTTAAGATTGAAAGTCTTCTGGGTCTTCCCAGTGCACCAGCCCTGAGCACTTGTCTCATGCATCCAGCTGGGATGGGGAGGGAGGTGGAAGGGGGTTCAAGATGGGGAACACATGTAAATCCATGGCTGATCCATGTCAATGTATGGCAAAAACCACTACAATATTGTAAAGCAATTAGCCTCCAACTAATAAAAATAAATGAAAAAAATAAAGTAAAATAAAAAAAAGATTGAAAGTCTTACCTTCCTTGACACTTGCATTCTGCAGAGGGGACAGGCAGCTCTCTCCTTTCACAAGGAGTGGCTGAATGTACACGGGTGACAGGTGGCCCTTGCGGACAGCAAAGGAGATCAAACCTTCCATTGCTGACAGAGCGGCAGGGTTAGGGCTGTGGCCTGAAAGACAGTGATCCTTAGGAAGCCTCAATCTGGCATGAGTAGCAGAGTTCTGTGGGGGAGGACGAGATGTCCTGCCAGCCCCCGCATAGCTGTTGAAGGGGGAGGAAGGGGCACAGGCTCATCCTGAGCGTCGGACAGCTTGGAACTCAAGGGTCCGCCTGGACAGAGCTTTGGTGACTGGAAAGACCTTTCCCAAAGATCCACCGAGACTCCGTTTATCTGTCTCCCTGGGGAAGAGCTGGATGGCAGCCCCGTGCTCACTAACGCCCCCTGGCGGCGTGAGGGTTTCCCATCACTAGGGCCCTTCCAGGCACGTGCCAGCCCCTCTGTCTGCAGTGACCGCTGTAATCCCCACATCAAGCCTGTGAGGCAGGTGCTATGATGAACCCCACTGTTCATAAAGAGGAACTTGAGGTTGCCAAGAAGTACTGAGCTTAAGATCCCACAGCTCACAAGGTAACACCCAGGGGCAAAGAGTGGTCAGGGAAATCAACCAAGTTGAACATCAAGACTCCTCTGGCAAACCGGAAGCTGCCCTGGAGCGGAAATGGAAGGGATGAGCTTGTGTTCTGATTCCTCTCCTTACGACTATGTCACCTGGGTCACTTACCTCTCTGAAACTTAGGCTGTACCTACTATAATAGTAGTCATGAAACTTATCTGGGCCATCTCAAAAGATATTGGGAGGGGGCCATGAGAAACTAGATGTTTGCTAACTGTTGTTATTTAGTCGCAAAATCATGTCCAACTCTTTTGAGACTCCATGGACTGTAGCCTGCCAGGCTCCTCTGTCCATGGGGTTTCCCAGGCAAGAGTACTGGAATGGGCTGCCATTCCCTTCTCCAGGGGATATTCCCAACTCAGGAATCGAACCCTCATCTCCTGCATTGCACATGAGTTCTTTATCACTGAGTCACCAGGGAAGCCCACTTATTAACTGTAAACATTCAGAAACTCAATAGATGTATGTTGGGATGCAGGTGGGCAGGGTGGCAATAAGACTAGAGGACCATGGAGGAGACTTGGGGTTTGGAGCCCCAACATGGCTTTTAAAAATTGCACAGAAAATCTCAGAGAGACAGAGAGAGAGATGGAAGGAGGAAGTGGCTGGTCAGAATCAAGGCCTGATGCTACAGAAGCATCTGAGCTAGAGAGAAGGTGTTCTAGTCTTTGATGCAAGAGTGAGAGTTGGAGCCCAGATCCTCCTAAGACCAGAGAGGGAGCAGAACCAGGGTGCGGGAGGAAGGATGTAGAGCCTTCCCTGAGGGGTGGCCAGGGGGCGAGGAGGCTGGGAGGAGGCCAGAGCAGGAGGAGGAAGACCGTTCACGGAAGTCAGGGGAGAGGAGAATTGCAGGAGAGGGTGTGTCATCACCAGTGTGAGGAGGGTGGAGAGACAGTGTGAGAAAAAGAACTAGCTAACTCCATGGAGAAGAACAGCTGGGGTGACCATTACCTTTGCTGGTGCCAAAGAAGGCGAGGCCCAGGGAAATATTGTTGTAGCCCTGGGTGTGCACACCTTGGACATTCCAGCCAACACCTTCATACACCCCGCCATCGTCCCCAACCAGGAAGCTGTGGAGAGGGAAATCCAGGCTTGGTGGCTGGCCCCAGGCACACCCCTGCAAGAGGAGCCCCAGCCTAGCCTCCTAAGGGAGAAGGGCCAAACCAAGTTCACTAGAGGGAATTTGTGTGGATTCATCCGAGATAATGGATAGACAAGGTGATTTACATTCATCCTTAGAAGGACCACTCCCGTGTTCCTCACCCCATCCCCAGTTCAGATGCTGGGTTTTGTATAAATCATCCTGCACACTTGAAAAGGATGGGGTCCGGGAGCTGCCACCCAGAGGCTTCCCCAGACCCAACCAAACAGTATAAGATCCTTCTGAGCCTCTACATTTCCTCAAACATGGCTTTCCTCCTTCCAAAATGCTGTGTGTCTGTGATCTCCACACAGGCTGTTTGTGTGATTTCTCTCTGCCAGGGTAACCTCTTACCTAGACTTTCCAGGAGGGACCACCTCAAACAAGGATGTGGACGCAGTCAGTTTATTTGGGAAGAGACCCCAGAAGCCAGACTGAAGGGGCCAGGGCAGTGAGACAGGAAGAAACTCAACAAAGTGTGAAGGATTGGGTTGGCTTCCCCATGGACACCTGGGGCTCAGCACCCCGCTCCTTGACATGTGACTTTCCAAGGAGAGAAGTACTTAAAAGTGTCCCTTCAGATGGCTGGGGACTAAGAAGTTAGCCACAAAGCCTGCCCTCCCGGGGGTTCACCGTCAGGGACTTGGACGAAAGCCTGAGGCAGAAAAGCAGAGAGATGCAGGTGCTCTTGAGGTGGGAAGCCATTCCCACACACGGGAATCGTCCACAATGAACTGAAGTCAGAGGTGGGCTGAGGAACTGGGTCCTGGGCACTAGGAGGGCCTGCTAGAGTGACCAGCAGGGGAAGAAGAGGATGCCTCCCTCACTGAGGTGAAAGCCCCAACGCACACTGTAGTGGAAGGATCAGAGGGCAAAGGGGCTTGGGCCACAACTTAGCAGCAGTGTGACCTCGATCCCTTCCTCAGTGCCCCCGCCTGTAACATGGAGATGGTGACACCCGCCCAGCCAACCTCACACTTTGTCAGGGGGCAAACGCACCCATGCAGCCACAGACGGGGAAGCCATTCCTAACCTGGGATGTGCTGTGTGAACCATTAGGAGGTGAACGGAAAGTAGAGTCATCACTTAAACTTCCTTGCTTCCTTTCAAGACAGCTCAAAGTCAAGAACCTCACAGAAAATTTCAAAGGCTTTGGAATTTTATAGGATATTTTTTCATTGCATTCATTATTAATCAGGTACAACCACAACCCAGAAAATGAGGGAAACAGTTACAGAAGAGAAGGGGCGAGGGAGGCACCCTTAGTAGCGCTGGGTCACATGCCCCCAGCCCAGCCTCTTACTTGTAGGCTATGTCACACCAGCCGTTGCGCACGTGATGGCCCTGCAGCTCCCGCAGCCTCTGACTGCACGAGGTCTGGTTGTGACATTCCAGCCCAGGGACGTGGTGCGTGACAAGGAAGCCCACCGGCAGGGCCAGCTGGGCACTGCAGGCAACGGCGTCTGCCCCCCACTGCTTGCGAGAGACCATGGTGGAGACACCTGCAGGGGGGCCACGCTGGTGTCACTGGCAGACCCTGCTCCACTACTGCCACCTCGGGCCCCTGGGCCACCCGCACCAGCCGAGGCCAGGTCTGCCCTGTGGTGGCTGCGGAAGGGCTGCAGGAGGAGGCCTTCTGTGGGCAGGCGGGCACAGCCTCCTCTTCTTGCCTCCATGTTTCCGTTTCACTACTCAGTCCAATGCAGGGACTGCGCCCGCCCAGAGCAGCCTAGGTGCTTGGCCCTCACACCTGGGTGACCTTCTCTGATTGAGGGTCCCTCCCTGCTCTGATCCAGGCAGTCTTTTGTGCCACCATTAAAGCCCCCAGGGGCCCCTCACAGTTTCACCCCAGGGCTGCTGCCCTCCAAGTTCTCCAAGCTCACTGACAGTTTCCTCCGGGACTCTGCTTCCTTCGCCCTGCTCCCAGCGCTCCTGGAGCGGGGCATCTCCTCCTCAACCTGGGGGCCCCTCCAGGCAGGGCCCATGACTCCCCTTCAGTCCGGGGACTCCTGAGGGCAAAGTGTGAGTCTCCAACCTCAGGCTAGGGGGGCCTTAACGCACAGACTGCACCTCCCTTTCCTGGGTTTCTGGCCCCTCCCAGCAGCACTCTCACTTCCCCTTCCTCCTTCCCTCCCTGCCAAGGCCTAAGACAACCCAGGGAGGTATTCCTGTGTCTTGGCCCCAACCACCCCATCCCACCATTAAGTGCCTGGCCCCAAGAGAAACCCAGCTGGTCCTCAAACCTCCTCACCACTGAGACCCCGTTTGTCTTTTTCAATGAGCTGGGAGATGTTACCAAGCAGGTCCTGAAGCCCCTCGGATAGGTGTTTATCTTGTGTTTTATCCCAGGAGGAACCACCTGTAAGGGAACATTCCATTTCACATCAGCCCTCAGAGAGCCCCAGTACCAGTCCTCTCCGTGGCAGCGGCTCAGGCTCCTCTCCACAACCCTCTGCCTCCCCAGATCTCTGGGTCCTTTCAGGAAGCCCCTGTGGGGCCAGAGGACCACCTCCAGCAGTACCATGAGGCGTGGTTTTCTCCAACACCAGCTCCAGGTAACCTCCCAGGAAGTTTTAAACAGACAAGGGCAGGGGGTCAGAAATATTGTCCTTTTCTCATGAGCCATATCTCCACACACAATTGGCAAAATCAACAAAAACAACAACAAAAACCACCTGGAAATGCATCCAGGCACTTCAAAACCACAAAGTCTTTCCTTATATGCATTTTGCCTAATGGAAGCAATGGGACAAATTGTGCCCAGAAGGGACTGGAATTCTCTGCACAAATCAAGTCAGTTCCTCTGGGATTAATTCTGGGGGCATTTGCTATGTCCATGCTCCTGTGGGAGGGACTTTGGGGATTTCAACAGATTCCCACCCCGAAGGAACTTTCTCTCACTGACAACCGTAAACCCCAGTCATAGGCTTACATAATATTGCAAATAGAATCATTGCCCCATTGCTCAAGTGCTAAGTCCTTCCAGCAGTGCATTTCCCCATTCTATTCTCACAATAAATATAGATCATAACCTTGTGTCAGTCTTCAGGTGGGAAAATTCAGGTTTCAAGAGGTGACTAACTTATTTAAAATCATTGCTGGAGGCAGGGCAAGGATTTGCATCCAGGTCTATGGACTCCAAGTTCTGTGCTCTAAATGCAAAGCTGTCCTCCTGCTCTGACTTCCTACCATCCTCCTAACAGAGAGTAGGCATTTAAAGATTTCCTATTATGAGACTGTAGGATGATCTTTCTTAGTTACTCTCTAAGCCAATGAAGAAAACTCACCCCAGGCCCCGAGACCCAGAGTGGAGAAGACAAGAAGCCACCACATCATCTTCACGTGATTCCAGGACACAGGAGAGACCTCGGCTCTATGAAAGACAATGATGGTTACCCCAACTGTGCTCACCCCTCAAACGGGGCACCCACCCTACTGCATGGCCCCATCTGCCCTCCTGAAGGCTAGCACCTGGATAGGCTTCTCTGGGTCCCCAGCACATGTCAGGTGCTCACTGAATGAGGAAACACCCCCATCCTGTTTCCCTGGGCAACCAGATCTCATTGAGTGCCTACCATGTGTGAGGCCTGAGTAGACACTCACACATGCTTTATTGAATCCTCACACCAAGCCTGCAATCTAGACTTGCTAACCCCCACTCTTATAGAAGAGGGCTGTAAGGTTAGGGGTGAAAGTGAACGTAAAGTTTGCTTAGTCGTGTCCTACTCTTTGCGACCCCATGGACTGTAGCCAGCCAGGCTCCTCTGTCCACGGGATTCTCCAGGCCATAATTCTGGAGTGAGTAGCCGTTCCCTTCTCCAGGGGATCTTCCCAACCCAGGAATCTAACCAGGGTCTCCTGCATTGCAAGCGGATTCTTTACCAGTTGAGCTACCAGGGACTATGGGTAGCAGAATGGAAAAATGCAAACTCACTTCGATGGGTCTAATGCAGAGAATTTCTTCCCAGCTGGGAATAGACTGCGATTGGGAAGAGGAGGGGATATAAGAGCTGAGGAGGGGGAGGGGCCTATTAACAGAGCAGAGCAAAACTCCTGATCTTTACACTCCATCTGGTGGAGTCCAGTCCTTCTGATAAGAGAGGGCTTCTCAAGAAGAAACACAGCTACACACACACACACACACACACACACACACACACACACACACACTCAGAAATACCTGTGGGTCCCTTGCTCTCCCAGCTCCACAGGTCAAGCTGCAGCCGGCTCACCCCTCATTGGCTGGCAGGGCCTCCTTTCAGGCTTGGCCTCTGGCCCTGCCCTCCTCCTCAGCCTTCACCCTCCCAGGCACTAGAGGGCACTCTCTCCCCGGGAACTGAGACTGGGCCCTGGCTTTTCAGAGAGAAGAGAAAGGCCAGGAGCCCTAACAAAAGGGGGCGAGGAGGAGGGCCAGGCTCTGAGCGGCTCCCTCTATAGTCCACAGCACCGAGAAGAATCAAGACCAGACAGGTGTTGACAGCAGTGACCCGCCCTGTGAATAATCCCAGATACCTCCTCCCTGGGAAAGGGTGTGGCTGCCCAAGGCTCCCAGGAAGCCTGGCAAACCCAGGGGTGCCTGTGGGACCTGGGGGTCACATCCTGACCTCTGGGAACTTTCTGCCTGTGGGGACAGATCTGCTCCAGGAGTCTGAAGGTTCTGGATGGAGGTTGCTCCCCAACCCCACCTCCCACCCCTTTCCATCAGCCCCACCAGCAGCAGGCTGTAGAAAAGTACATCCCAGGAGGTGATGCACATATGTCCTTATCACTAGAACTGATTCCCACTCTGTGGCCAAGGGGACCATTCACCCACCACCCCCACCTCTGCATCAGACTCTCACCCACCCAAGAAGCCTCCCACAAGCCAGGATACTCCAGCCCCTCAGCCACTCTCAGCTCAAAGCCACAGTTATCACCTCACATGTTCCACGTCTCCTCCACAGTCCGAGGCTCTGGTCTTGGGAGCCCTGAGTCTTCGTGGAGGAAGCGTCACGTGACACTGTCTCCCAGGCCTCCACCTCCCAGGCCTGACCAACAGTAAAGCTTTCAGAGAGGAGGCCTGTGGCCCCCAGAGCATCGGGTTAGGGAGAGGAGAATGGTTCCCTTCTGCAGACGGCTATGGGATGTGGGAACCCTGAGCAGAGACTGAGTGGGTGGTGGCTGCCGGAGAGAGGAGGGGAAGCAGGTGAGCCCAGATCCATCCTGAGACCAGCAAATTCTTGGAGACTAACAGGCTGAGGGGCTCCCTGAGGGAAAAAACCTGTTCTGGACAGAGGGTGTCAGGAGGGGGAAGACAGCAGAGCAGGCAGTTCTCTCTAGTTCTGTGCGCTTAGGACCAAAGTCCTAACTGGCCTGCTAAGTTGAATAGCCCCACGCTGGTCACCTCCCCATCTCTCACCCCCCTTGGCCAGAGCAGCTACCTTGCTGAGGGTCCCTGTCTCACTCTTCACCTGGGCCAAGAGGCCCCACATCCAGCCTGGCTTCTTCCAAGAGACCTTCTGTGGAAAAGAAGGAAGGAAAAAGAAAAGCAGACAGACACACAAGCTGCTTCAAGTAACATATTGCCTGAGACAGTGGTTCTCGAAGAATGTTCCAAGGAGCCTGGGGGTTCCTAAGACCCTGCAGGGGCTCCATGAGGTCATGACTATTTCCAGTCATGATTTAACATTGCAGTCCATAATAATATACCCTGAACCACCCACCACAAGAAACCTCCCACCAACCAAGTATCCCCAGATCCTCCCCTTCCTCACTGTGCTGATATTTACACCAGTGACCTTAGAACAATAGTAGGTCAGACTATTAGTATCTTACCGGGAACCAGGCAGGTGGCAGCAAACTGCACTAGCAGTCACTGTATTCCTCATGCTGTATTCTTTCAAAACGAAAATGTTTTTCACTTGAGAAATGTTCTTGATAAAGCAATGAAAGCTATTCATTTTATTAGCTCTCAACCATGATTGTCTCAAGGAAAAGCACTTGCATGATTGAAGGGTAAAGTGAGCTATTTTTTCATAGAAACACCATTTTTTACTTGAAGGAACAAATAACAGCTCAATTATGGATACTCATGCTACAGTATATAATGAAGACATTTATCTTGAAAATGAACAGAGTTAAACTTTTACTTCAAGGAAAACCAACAGGATGTGTTAGTGTAATAAAACTGGAACTTTCAAGCAAAAATTAAACTTTGAAAAATTTCGCTCTGCCACCATGAGTTTGACAGTCTCTCAAAACGTAAAGATTTTCTTGATGAGATCAGTGGTGATATCAATAAGTGTGATTTTTACATATGTATATATATTAGATAATGAAATGTGTCAGCATTTGGAAGATGTGGATAACCCAGTGAATCAATCTTTTCCAAACGACCAGTATATTGTTACAGAATCACAGGAGACCGTTTATATTTTGTGATAGACCAGTGAATTCTAATGTAACAAAGAATTCATTAATATGATCTGAGATTCTAGGATAACCCTTTCAAAATGTCTGCTTGTTGAGTTTTGGTGAATTATCAAAGAAGGATATTCACAACAAATTTTATTGTATTTATATGAGTGTAGGCTCAGTCTGGAGAAGGAAATGGCAACCCACTCCAGTATTCTTGCCTGGAGAATCCCAGGGATGGGAGCCTGGTGGGCTGCCGCCTATGGGGTTGCACAGAGTCGGACATGACTGACGTGACTTAGCAGCAGGCTCCGTCATATCTGACTCTTTGAGACCCTAGGAACTATAGCCTGCCAGGCTCCTCTGTCCATGGGATTTTCCAGGCAAGAATACTGGAGTGGTTTGCCATTTCAACAACAACTTTTAAAGACTATTAATATATTCTCCTCTTTCCAACTACTTATCAGTGTGAGGTTTGATTGTCTTCATAGCTTCAAACAGAAAACAAATATCATATATTAACACATACATATGGAATCTAGAAAGACGGTACTGATGAGCCTAATTGCAGGCAGCAATGGAGACACAGAGGTAGAGAACAATGGACGTGGGGTGGGGGTGGGGTGGGGAGGAAGGAGAGGGTGGTACAAATGGAGAGAGTAACATGGAAGCATATACACTACCGTATGTGAAATAGAGAGCCAATGGGAATTTGCCGTGTGACTCAGAGAACTCAAACCAGGGCTGTGTAACAACCTAGAGGCCTGGGATGGGGAGGGAGGTGGAAGCGAGCTTCCAGACAGAGGGGACATATGTATACCTATGGCTAATTCGTGTTGATATATGGCAGAAGCCAATACAATATTGTAAAGCAACTATCCTTCAATTAAAAATAAATTTTAAATAAGAAAAGAAAAAGAAAACAACACATACAGCAAACTGATTACAGACGTAGGAAAGTCCATTTGTCTTCATATAAGCCACACATTAAAAAGGTGTGCAAAAATGTAACAAATGATATCATTGTTCTCACTAGCCTTTTTTCGAAAATATAATTATTTCTTACTTTAAAAATATGTTAGTAGATAAGGGGTTTACTGATACTATTTTAAGTGAATTAATAAGTATTTTAAATTGTATAATATTGTATATAATAGTAGATGCAACCCATATAAACAAAAACTCTTTTAGACACTCAATAATCTGTCAAGTGTGAAAGGGCCTTGAAAACCGAAAGGTTAAGAATCAGGGCCCAAGGAACCCAGCAGGCTGTCCTGACATAGGTAGGCCACAAGGGGGCAGCATGAACTCTGATCATCCCAGGTTGCCTTTCACCCGCGGACTCTCCCTTATCTCCATCTCCTTCACCCCTCCCCACTTCCTTATTTTCCTTCTCTCCATTTTCCCGAGCTGCACAATTTCTTAATTACAGGAAATGATCATCTTCTCAGCGTAGTTTCTATCAAAGCCATGTCAGTCACGTATCACTCTGCAAACGTTTATCAGATGCCTCTCAGATGACAGTTAATCACCCAGGGATGAGTAAAAGGAGTTAATAAGCTAGTGAGGGAGAGGGACCCCAAGGCCAGCCATTAGAATGCCAACGTGGTGATAATGTGACAGCCCTTTATTTCCTGTTTCAGAGGGATTCCCGCGAGGCAGAGGCGGTCAACAGGGACACACGGAGATATTCATCAGGAATTTCTGGAAGGATCTGGAACTTCAGGGACACGCTGAGAACAAAAACCAGATTCCACAAGAAATCGGAGAGGAGCAGGACCGGAAAAACGGGAGCCAAGGAACGGAAAATGGGGAAAGAAAACTTCCCAGAAATCACATAAGTGAAGACAGCAAGAGGGAGTCAGGGGAAAGGATTAAGACTTGGGAACCCTGCAGAGAGGAGAAGGATACTGACCCCTCTTGGTCGTGGCCTCAGGGGACCAATCTCACTGATAGGTCTAGAGCTGCTGAGCGTCTGCCTGCTCCCTTGTTGGCTTATGTGATTTTAACACAGCTGAGGAAGCCATACCCACCGTCCAGAACCAAGAAAACTGTCCCAGTTCATGCCCACGCAGGAGGCTCTGAATGTTCCTCTAGAAGACCCCACTTCCCACCACCCTTTCCTTCCAACCTCTGGCCTTGGTTGGCAATGAGGAGGCTGGGTGGGATCTGGGCACTTATTGACCAAGCCAGAAATAGCCTGCCCAGATCACAGCCTCTACAACTCAGCTTCGGCCTCACCCAGGCTTGGGTTAGCCTGGGACCATGAGGTCTGCCAACCAAGGCCTTTTTTATTTTTGGCTGTACAGGCTCTTAGTTATAAGATCTTCAATCTTCATTGGGGCATATAGTGTCTTTTAGCTGTGGCATGTGAACTCTTAGCTGTGGCATGTGGGATCTAGTTCCCTGACTAGGGATCAAACCCAGGCCCCCTGCCTTGGGAGCATGGAGTCTTAGCCACTGGACCACCAGGGAAGTGCCCTGCCACCGCCTTCTGTCATGAGGGAACTCACTGCCAAAGCAGTACCCCTAAGTGTGGACCCCCTCCTGTTTCGAAGCCCTGTCCAGTTGCTCACTCCACTAACCACTGACCCTACTCTCCTCCTCCCACCCAGTCACTTCCATCCTAACCCACACTGTATGGTCCCAGCCAACATCTCTGCAGAAAGTCACAGGACAACAAACAGACCTGTGTATATTTCACACTCATTCATTTCCCCATTTATTTGTGCATTCCTGCAATTATTAATTCAACAACTGTTCATTCTACACCTATCGAGCAGGCTCTTGCTCCATCCTGGAACCACAGAGGTGATTCAGGCCACATCCCTGGTTCGGGGAACCTCAGCAGGATGGAGGAGAGAGACCTGAAAGACAAGAACTTCAGGCGTTGGCCTGCAACCATGCTTTGTTCAGCACATACCATGTTTCCTAGTTAACGTTTTTATTTTCCTTTAAAAGTAGTTGATGAATCTTATAAGCAAGAGTTTTCACAGAAAAAAATCAGATTTCCTGAACCTTTGGGAGGTCCATTAACAAAAGATCCACTCTCTCACGTGGCTGCCTTCCCCTGAGGATGAGTAACAGCGGCCCCCTCAAGTGAGGAATGCTCTGGTTTGCCACAGTCCCCACCAAGCTCTAGTCCTTCCAACCAGGAGGTCCCATGTCTGCTGCCACAAGTCACACTTCTGGCGGTGCTCTGGGTTCTTCAGCCCACACGGCTTCGCCACTTGGCTCCGGGTCTCTAGTTCCTGTAAGCTTGGGTCTCGGATCCTTGGTCCAGAGTGAAACATGCCCTGACAGAGGCAGCAGAGGGTGCTGTGGACGCACACACAAGAGGCACCCTGGCGACCTTGCCCTGATAGCATAAAACAGAGATTTCCTAACTGAGGAGGGAACCGCACAGGATGGCTGCAGGCTCTTGTCTGCACTTCCTCCATCAGCTTGAACAATGGAGGCAGACCCCTCTCCCCCTTAAGAGCCAGAGTCAGACAGGCACAGGAAGGCTCAGCCACATGGGGAGCCAGAGTGAGTTGGCCACCTCAGGGGTCCTCAGCCCACCAGCAGCCCCTGGCTATCACAGATGGGAAGCACAACCTCGGTGGTTGTTGAAAGAGTGGTCCCAGAAGAGAGGCAGAGTGCTTCCCACCTCACTCAGGGGGGACAGGGGTGTGGGGTGGAGGGGAAGTGGACTAAGCAACCAGCTTCCTCCCAAACCAGCTCCAGGCCAGGGCTGGGAATTTCACAAAAAGTCAAAAAGAGCTCTGTGAACACTTCCTGTCCTGGCCCAGCCCCCTTCCTGGCAGTGAAACAGCCCAGCCTGGGGTTACCACATAGGCTCACCTATGAAGCAATCTTCACGCTAGAGGGCTGTCTGGATCAGTGGTGTATAAAAACTGGGCCCGCATCTTGCTTTCAAACCCTTCTGCGTGGCTCCTTGGCTTGGGTAAGTGAGCTACCAGCTCTCCCGGGGCCGGAACCTGCTCACTGACTCTTCACCCCCCTTACCCATCTTCCTTTCAAACCTGGAAGCCCTCCTTGATTGACTGCTCACTTTAAATCTTCCTTCCCTTTTTCTTAGGTCATGCTCTGCTATCCTCAAAGGCTCTCTTTTGGGGCATTCCCTAGACATTCTATAAGCCATTCCTCTCATGTCTGGAACTGGGTCATCTCCCAGTTCAGTTGCAGCCCCCAATTTCTTTTCATTCTGTATTTTCCTCTTCATTCCTGTGTGCAGACAGTAGGAGGGTCAAGGAAGCTTGACAGTCTTCTAAGCACCCTACTCCATTGCTCAAACAGAAGGCAGGAAGATGGCGGACCAAATGTCACAAATGGAATGCAGCATAGAAGCCATCATCAACATCTTCCACCAGTACTCCGTACGACTAGGGCACCCGGACACCCTGATGCAGAAAGAATTCAAACAGCTGGTGAAAAAAGAGCTGCCAAACTTTCTCAAGGTAAGGCTGGATTCCTGGCAGACCTGAGTCAGTCTGGGCTAAGGATGGAGAATGGGGATACAATCTGCAACCATCAAGGAAGATGTTCCTGCCCCTCAACCCAGCCTCCAAAGGCAGTGGGCTCCGTGTTTGGAGCAGGATTTGGACCCTGTCACTAGAGGTGGTCCACAGTAGGTGGCACCAACAGACAGCTTGTGCAGCGTGCTAGGTTCCGTCCCAGGCAGGGCACATAGTGGCCAACAGGGACCCACTGTCTCGAGGGGAGAGACACGTGGCAAATGTGTTGACCAATCAGGAACACAGATAGATCCACTGCCAATAGAGCGCTGTGGGCAGTGTGGACTGGGCAGGAGAGAGGTAACTAGTTAAGTACGTGAAGGGTCCCTCCAAGGGACCTTTGAGCTGAAACCTGAGTGTTGGGAAGGGGCTAGGGGAAGCAAGTGACAACGACCCTTGGAAGGAAACTAATGAGACTGCAAGCATCAGATGAACTTAGAAGACCCAAAAGGACTTTTCTAATCCATAGGCTCTCTGGGAGGAAACAAATAAACAGCATTTGGGAAGGGACCCAGCCCAGCACGAGTGGACAAAGCACTCCATAACATGTTAGTTTATTTCCCTGATCTGAAAATCATCTGGCAGCTCTAAGAAAAGGAAGATTCATTCCACTGGATCTTTTTGTTTTCTTTACAAATTTGGTGACTTGGGGGACACAGGTGTTGTGCTCAGAAGGGTGGGACATGTAAGTCCCAGTCTCAGTTCCATTCCTGGAGCAGGATAGCCCAGAATAGGTGGACAGCCCTGCCTGGGGCCCCTCCCCACCTTGGTAAGGTAGAGAATTGTAGTGGACAGAGCCGGGGGACACTGATAGCTCCCCGCAGGGGCAGAATTCAGCAAGCCAGACTCTGGGTCAGGGGAGACAAGAGGCAATACAGCCAAGAGGTTGCGTGGGCAAGGTTGTCGTCTGTGTGACCCCTACTCCATGCCATCCACCACCCCCGACATGCAGAGCAGATAGGCCAGGAGGGAAAGCCAGGCCCCTGCTCAGGGTCTGCTCAGGAGTGAGAGCTCTGCCAGGACAATGGCAAACGTACAGAAGAGGAGATCCTGGTGAAGCATTGCAAGAGGAGACAGCAAAATTGCCCAGCCAGTGGGGGGTAGAGCTGGAACCCAGGGGGGCCTGGATTCTCCCCTCATGCCCTTCCTTGCGCACTTATCACACCATCTCATTTCCCTTAGATGCTTCCCCACCCTACAGGCTGAAATGAGGGTCACTAGCCTGGAGAGGGAGGGGAGAGGAGGGCGTGATGCTGACAGAAGCGGTGAGAACGGGACAAGTCCGGGCTCTGGATCAGATCATAACGTGGGTGTCCTCCCTTCCACTCCCAAGCCTTGGCAATCTGCACGAGCTAGTTACCCTCTGCAAGACCATTTGCTCAGGTGTTCCTCAGGGAAGATTCCAAGTCTCTCTATAATTGCTGTAAGAACCCAGTGAGGAGACACCGCTGCACTTACTGCGTGACCTTGGGCGAGTAACTTGACCTCAGATCCTCTCCTGTATAAGGGAGTGAATCGTGGTGCCCGGGTTGTGTGCAGAAGGAACTAGAACGTGGCTAATAGATGCTGCAACTGAGGCCCAGAAGCCCACTGTCCCGGTGCCTCTGCCACCGGGTCACTCGCAGTGCTCCTCCCCGTCCCCAGCCCTGGCCACACCCAGCCCTGACGCCCCATGTCTCCCACCTGCAGAAGCAGAAGAAGGATGACAAACTCATCAACGATATCATGGAGGACCTGGACACAAACCAGGACAAGCAGCTGAGCTTCGAGGAGTTCATTATGCTGGTGGCCAAGCTGACGGTAGCCTCCCACGAGGAGATGCACAAGACCGCACCCCCAGGAGAAGGCCACAGGCACGGGCCAGGCTTCGGGCAGGGTGGCTCGGGCCCATGCCCCAGCCAGGGTGGCCCCGGCCACAGCCACGGAGGTCACGGCCACGGCCACAGCCACGGTGGTCACGGCCACAGCCACTAATCAGGAGGCCAGCCGCTGCCCACCTAGAGCCTCAGGGCTGCCTTTGCTGTGGGGCAGGGCGATGGGGGTGAAATAAAGTCTTCCTCCCAGTCAGTGCTCTGCGTGCTTCTTCCCCCTCCCCCCTCCCAACCTGACCTTCCCAGAAGTCTGGGCATCAGACAGTCCTGGGCCTTAATTAGGCCTCAACTTCTTCATTCAGTAATAACAAAAAAGAGAAGCAGAGAAACTGTGAGTCTCTTCTGGGTCCCTTGGGCTCATCTCCTGGACCATCTCCTCCCCCATGACCCCAGACCCCACTGCTCAGGTGCCCCTTACCTCACCCCAGCTCAGTATCTCCCAGTGCAGATGGTCAAGTTGGCCATTGTCACCACAGAAGGAAACAGGTGTTATACCTTCCCCTCAACCTTCCAGCCACATCCCAACCCAGCCCTACCCCCTTTTACCCAATGCTGTGCACACAGCCCTCTCTCTCCTACTAGAACCTTGAGTGTGTGAGTGTTGTGTGCTGTCATGTCTGACCGTTTGTGACCCCGTGGACTGTAGCCTGCCAGACTCCTCTGTCCATGAGATTTTTCCAGGCAAGAATACTAGAGCAAGTTGCCATTTCCTTCTCCAGGGGATCTTCCCGACCCAGGGGTCGAACCCACATCTTCTGCATTGGCAGGTGGATTCTTTACCACTGAGCCACCTGGGAACCAGACCTTTAGGCCTCTGAAAGTCCTGCAGATGTGCACACAGACAGAGCGTGTCTGAGGAGGAACGCTGGAGTCAAGGACAGATGGGATGTTACCCACAGATGGAGTTCTGAATCCATGGGGGCGTTGGGCGTCTCTAGCAGACCCAGAGTCCTTCCCATGGACACAAGGGAAGGTGTGCACACAGGTGGGGAGCAGAGCCCTGGCCCCAGGAGGATGGGAGCATGAGAAGGGCCCAGCCTGTCCGCTAGAAGAAACCAGAGCCATCCCTGGGTCTGCAGCCATGAGGCCCAACCACTGCCATGAGGAGGGACACTGGGTCCGGGGAGCCTCTCGGGCCTGCAGGTTCTGATCCTAAGACTCCAGGGCAAGCTGAGCTCCTGCAGGGGGCGGGAGTTCCTCCGGGCCTTGTCGGTAGCTAAGAGCTCAGGGCAGCAGAAGCCCCGGCTGCCCTGTGAATCTGCAGCCTGGCCTGGCTCCCAGGTTCCCTGCCTCAGCAGCCTCCAGACCCAGGCGCTTGCCTCAGAGACACCCAAGTGACCCCCTGCCCTCGCTGCTTGCCCTGAGCGCAACCTCTCCCGGGTCGTCACTGGCCTGGGGTGAGCCTTCCAAACACCAGAGCCCGAATCAGGCTCATCCTCCTGCCCTGTGCTTTCAGCAGAGAGAGAACCCTGACAGGATTAGGATGGGGCACAGGGCAGGCCAAGATGAGCAGCATCCATCCCCTGGGTTACAAGTAAAGAAAGCGAAGCACAACGTGGAGAAGGGTCAGACAGTGGCGGCTGGTGAAGATGGCAGAGAGCCTTGGATCCATCTTCTCTGCAGCCTGCATCTTGCAGCTCCTTCCCCAGCGCTGAGCACGAAGCAAGGAACCACGCTCAGATTCCAGCTCCCTGCAACCTGCCTGCCGTGGACCTTGCACATCCTGTTTTAAGAGCCTTTGCTATGGCGACAGGGATGGCAGGGCTCCTGCTTCAGAGTATGGGGGTGTTTCCAGGAAGCACTCCGTGCTGTGAGCTTGGGGAGCAGAGTTCAGAAGGTCCCAGTCCCTTCCCTGCCCAGGACACCCTATAAGTGGGGAGACATCTCCTGACAGCCATTCTAAGCCACCCTTAAGTCCCCGCTGTGCTGCTTGGTGCAGGAGAATGAGAGCTGGCCTGGCAACTGGGAGGTTTTTTCAGTCCCTAAGTCATGTCCGGCTCTTTGCAACCCCATGGACTACAGCATGCCAGCCTTCTCTGTTCTTCACCATCTCCTGGAGTTTGTTCAAATTCATGCCCATTGAGTCGGTGATGCCATCCAACCATCTCATCCTCTGTGACCCCTTTTTCCTCCTGCCCTCAATCTTTCCCAGTGTCAGGGTCTTTTCCAATGAGTCAGGTCTTCACATCAGGTGGCCAAAATATTGGAGCTTGAGCTCCAGCATCAATCCTTCCAATGAATATTCAGGGTTGATTTCTTTTAGGATGGACTGGTTTGATCTCCTAGCTATCCAGGTGGCTCTCAAGAGTCTTCTCCAGCACCACAATTCGAAAGCTCAACTCTTCAGTGCTCAGTCTTCTTTATGATCCAACTCTCACATCCATACATGACTACTGGAAAAACCACAGCCTGGGTTCTGGCCCGGACTAGATGCCTCGGATAGAGTAGGCTCCCCCCATCCCCTCCATCCACCATTACCTATCGCAACATGCCAGAAATATGTCTTTGACTTTGCTTCCCCACTGCACTGGGAACTCCACGAGGGCAAGTCATGGCATCTGTCTTATTTTCTAGTTTATTCCCAGCACCTGGAGTAGTGACTGATACACAGTAGGCTCTCAACCAATACTGACTGTACAGATGTCCTAAAATACTCTACATGCTCCATGATCCCTTCTTGGGGGGTAATGTGAAGAAAGGAGGGAGAGGGAGTAGGATTAAAACCAGCAAAATGTCCCCAAAGCCTCGATCACCAGGAGAAAATACCAAAGGTTCTGTATATCCTCATGGCATCTCCAACTGGAAGATAAGGGCAGTGAGGGGATGGGATTCTGGAGCCCCTCCCCAGCTTTATTCGATCTTACCAGTTCTGCCTTCAACTATTGCACACTAGAAGCTTCCATCTGAATAAAGGAGTTTGTCCTGAAAAAAGCTTGAACATTGTTGGTTTAGCCCAACCTGTCCCACCCTCACATTTGAGTGATTCTCTCCCTGCCAAGCAGCTGGCCCCACCCTGCCCGAACTCCTCCAGGAAAGGGAACGTCCTCCTTTGGTGCCGACACTTAGAAAGTCTTCCGTTACATCAGCCAAAATCTGTCTCCTCGTACCTGCTGAGCATTAACCCTGGTTTCCTCCCACACCACTGGGGGCACAGAATAAATCTAACTCCATCCATGCACACAGCTTCCCAATCAGTTCTTCAAAACATTTCCCTAAATCACATCCCGGCTTTCCCCAGGCTCTGCATGATTGCACCAGGAATACTCTCCTCACCTTGAGGTCTCTAGTGAGTCCCTTAATGGCCATGAGGGCCTAGAGCCTGTGTCACTGCCCCCTCCCCTTTCCTGACCACCCACCTTCCTCAAGCACATGGGGGCTTGTTCCTCCAGGCCCATAGGACTCTCCGATATGTCTACCTCTGCACTTGCACTAGGGAACTGTAATCCCTTATCTAGAGGCAGGGGCAATGGCTGATTGCCCCCAGGTGCCAGCATGGAATAAACTCTCAGGAGCATTTTGAATGAGCAAGAGAAGATATGATGGTCCTAGGGCCCCGTGCGGGCTGGAGGGTGAAGTTGGAGCTGTCTTGGGGAGAGGGTGAGGTGGGGACCACTTTGGACATAAGGGGTGTGCCGATGGTCTGGCAACCTGAAGGCCGGAGATTGTGGAGCAGCTGGGCTCAGAACAATAGGGGACAGAGCTTCTTAGATACCAAAGGTTCCACTTTTGCCTTATCTCTGTTAGCTCGGTCTGAGAGCAGGCTGCTCTAGATCCCAGGGGGTAAGGTGTTACAGCAAACCACTCTCGCAGAGCCCTGAGGGATTTTGTTAAAAGAGCTGACCTGATGGAAGGGTGACTTAACCCTTCCAACTGATTAGCTTCTCCTATTCCAAAAAAGTGGTTCTATGGAGTAGAAGGGAGTTATCTTCTTCCCTCAGACAAAGAATGAGAGCATCAGGGTCAAGGTTAAGATTCCCACTCCAGGTGAGAAATGCTGACTACCTCTATGATTAATGAGTCCTTTCAAGAAACAAAAGCTTTGGGATTTCCCCAGCATTGTGCTGATTGAAGAATAGAAAGCCTCTTGTCAGATGCCTGTCCCCCGATTCCCGTAAGAGGGAGTTGCCCTCCTTGGCAGTGAAGCCTGAACTTCTACATACCTTTCTGGGAGGGGTGAGGAAGTACAAGGGCACCACCAGCTGCAGGACACTGCCCAGAGGCTTAACGATGCTCAGAATATGCTCTGGGACCTGGGCGGTGCAGAATGCTTCCAGAACTGGGCATGGAGATTAATTCCTTTGTCATTCACTTGTCTTCTTATTCACTCGAGAGACAATAATAACAGACTTATTGTATGTCAGGCTCTGTATAAGGGGCCCCTGCAATAAATAAGGCTTCACTCTGTCATTTAAGGAACTCCCAGGACTGCAGGGCAGACAAGACAGCCTCTTAAATGAGTCTGATATAGAAAATCAAAGGCCAGAGAAGGGTAAGGTTCTGTGGGGCTTTGATGGGAGGGCCGTCATTCACCTGATGGTCTCCTGGAGGGGTGAGTTAAGGCTGGTGGCTGCAGGCATCCTCAGATAAATGTGCAAGTGCTTCAGAGAAAGAGCCCATGTGCAAAGGCCTGGACGTAGAAGAGAAGGAGGTGGGAGATAGAGAGGAGAGAGGGGGGATATTAGGCCAGGGAGCTACACTTTCCAGAAAACAGAGGGCAGAAGCAGCAGTGGAGATTTGGAGAGGGAAATGATATACTCATACTTTGGTAAAGTCTGCTGTGTGGGGGATGACTTGGGGCAGAAATGAGACAGGTTAGGAGGCAGCACAATGGTCCACTTGAGGCTAGGAGAGCCCGAGGTGGTGCTTCTCAGAGAAATGATGCTTTCAGCCAGGGTCTCAAACTACCCAGACCCCATGTCAGCAAGGCAGGTGTGTCCCACCCCTCTACAGGAAAAAGAAGAGAATTGAGTGATGTTTCCCAAGACCCTGCTGGAAAGAAAGGCCTCAGCTTTCACCAGCGGGCTGAGGTAATCTTACACAAGCCTGACACAAGCCCTGCCATGAAGTAAACTCCAGAATCCAACCTCAGTGCCCTGCCTCCTC